GGGCTGGACAAAAAAGCCTTTGCGGTTGCAAGGATCCGGACGGCTTCAAACCGCGGACATCTCTTCGAGCGAAAGATCCTGAACCACCCCCCTTGCCATTGACCAGTGCATCCTTTCGAGCGTACAGGACATGAAAGGATGCTCCAAACGGGGTCGAGTGCAAGAGCCCTCGACTGGCGAATGCAACCCACCAGGCAACACGGAAGCATATATGTGAGCATCATGAAACATCAAATATCGTAATCATGGGCGACAGACAACATGCAAAGGTGGAAAGCCTATGTAGACTACAGGCTTTCTTTAAACCCCCGCAAAGCCAGAAGGAAGTTGCTCCAACGTCAGCCCAGCCCTCCTCTTGCACCAGACGGGCCTGGCAAAACGCTTGATCGAGCCTCTGCGAAAGATGGGAGGAGCCTATATCTCTTTTGAATGGTTTTCAGCAACAAGAGGGAAATCTAGGGTTCCCCTACACCCGAAAAAAGTCTGAAGCTGCCTGGGTTCCTCTCTGTCTCTGTGAGTGTCTTTGTAAGTGTCTTTGGGCCACGGTTTAACAAGCATGATATTGCAAGTACCATTCTTGCATATACCTTGAAATCCATAGACGGCTCCTGACTTTTTCGCTCAGGGTATGTAACGCGCGACGCGGGCACGAGTCTAGTTACGGCTCTGTTGCACAGCCCTCAAAAAATCATTGCCAAATCGTCAACTCGTATTGAATTGGCGTAATCTGTTTCAACATTTTATATGGAACAAGTACTAGTACTTCGTCCATCGGCCAAACGCAGTAAAGCCATCAGCCAAGCAGAACATGCGCTGCAAAGCCATTCATCACAAAAAGGCACAACATCACGAAACCTTCTATCAAGACCAACTACAGATCTGAACTCTTCATGTCGTGTCCGCCAACCACAAGAAGGGCCAAAGGAAAATCCCATGCAACGGAGGTTGAATCTCATTCTCAAGCGACAAGTCATTGCATCAAGCCGGGTGAATCAGCAACCCAACATATAAGCGGTCCCCACATAATTTTCATTCTGGGCGAGGTGGAAAACCCCATCTTTCTGGCAAAACTATAATTTGCCCAGGTCAATGCTTGACGATCTACTGGATGCTTGCCAACCCAAATGCGTTTTGTTGGTGTCATTGAACACGCGGCAACAAATACCGCAACCAGGCATGCCCCCTTCATAGAGAAGCCGTGTTGCCAGGTGCGAAGGGATCATGTTGATGATGGAAGCCCAATGCAGTGCTGGTTGCCGCAAGCCTACACCTCCAAAAACGAGAAAACTCCGGATCGTGCCGGCCCCGGCCACAGGTGCTGTGCCTCTACTTCTCTCGGACCTTTGGATGCACAAGCACTTCAAGAGGGCTGATGCAGGCAGCGCCTACCATAACTGCTTTTTCCCCTGAATGTTGAGATATCAACATTTCCATTGGCCATGTCCATCAACTTTTGGGTGGCCCCCCAGTCCAGTGCGTTCACAGAAAACACAACGGCATGATGCAGTGGACGGATCTCTGGCCTTCAGCGCCTCCAGCTGGACTGTGTGCTCCTCACCCGATGACTCGGAGACTCGGCACGTGGAATCCGATCAAAACCTGTCATGCTCATTTGGCACATCCCCATTTGTTTTCACTTCAAACGTGACCCCCAAAGAAAAGTGCACTTGGAATTGGCCCGAAAGGTCATGTTTAAAGGAATCTCGTCTTGAGGCACACCTGTTTGGGGTTCCATGTTGTGCTCTATCGGACCCTCCACATCTGTCTGAAAATATGTGGGTCAAAGTCAAAACTCAGGACGTTCAATGAAATGTTGTATATCTGTGTTCTATCTGCCTTGACACAGAATATGGCAACATGATGAGGCACCAAACATAGACTTTGATACCTTTGTGGACGGCCAGGCATGTTCACTGCTTCTGCCCAACAATGGACCTCCCGTGTAGAAAGTGTGAAGCGGGAAACTCATTGCCATTTGGGCGGTCGAAACTAGTGACCCCTCATTGGACCCCGTCAAAAAGCGGCACAACTTGTCAAACGCGGCCCTAGTTCTCGCCACCCGCTTTTTGGTCCGTGATCATTCGCAGGCTTTGCTGGCAAGCTTCTGCTGCAAAAACAGGGCAGTCAACTCAAACTGCCTGGCTGGAACTTCAACCCTCCCGTTTGGGACACACTCGAATGCAATGCATCAATGTTGGCTGCCAACGCAACTGTTCGAGGTCTGACTACAGGGGGCCTGGCGGCAAAAGCAGGTCAGTCCCTCTCTGTCTGTGCTCATGGAAAAGACTCAATGGCTGCGACTTGAGCTGTCCTTTCGCAGCCGATCATGCTCCTGCCTGACGGCGCAGGACCAACGGTCAATTCGCACATCTTGTGATGATCCAAACCCCTTGAACTACGCCGATGGGTGTCTTGGACGATTGCCCTGAAAGCAAAGGGGACCCTGTTTAGAAATGCACGGAGTCCCGAAGACCTCAGCAAGCGAATGGAAGCTGGCTAAGCGGCTTCCGTCTACCTGAAATCGCCTTAAGGTCGATGTGAAGGGCAGAATCAGCGAGTTGCAATTTATTCCTAGACAGGGAAAATGGATGAGTCTTTCAGGTGCATATGATTCTCATGCGGTCTAAACAACTGCACATTGACTCCAGCTTCCATCCAGAAAAGTCCTTTGACTCAGGTTGATTTGTTTCGGGATCCACCGGTTCGGAACGTCCAACATTTGCTCTTGCTACTTAATTTGCTGCCAACGTGTGCTGAGACGCAAGAACATGGAATACTGAGATATACTATCAGTAAAGAAGGTTACTTGATGGATTGAATGCAAACAAGGGAATACCTCTCTGTTTGACCCGATATCTCAAATAAGCCCACAGCTAAGAGCTCGTGTAGTAGAATCATCCGGAAGCGATCCTTGCCACACGCAATACCATGCCGAAGAATAGCATAAGGCGACTGGAGGAAGAGGATTCTACATCTTACTGTAGGCCTTACGGGGGCTAGATGATTACGTACATGTTGATACTCATATACTGAATTTGGCTTCAAAGTACCCACAATACCCTTCTAAATTACGTAGCTCCTATTGAGTCAACTCAGTCTCCCCAGCCTCAAGATCTCTATCTCCTTGCGACGCTCCGCTTCAGCCTGGCACATTTGCATATTTCGGCGGGCGAGGCAAGGGTGGAAAGGAAACCACAGGAAACTACGAATACGCGAAATGGAAAGACATAGTAGACACGGCGAAATATGGCAACAACCCCACAAACTCGTTTCCCAAAAACACACTGATGGAAAGAAATCATATGCCTCCTTAAACCATCAAACAGATCAGGTTGGGAGATGTGCATGAGTAGGCAAGGGCTTTGGGGTGGGAAGGCTCAGGTTCTGTGAGCTTCAGTTTCCTCGTGGTTCCTAGAAGAAAATCGCTGAACCAGTTTCAGCCTTTCTCGTCACTGAGATTGCACCAGCAACCGACATGGGCTGCAAGGGATTGAAGGCCGCTCTGAAGCTTTGCTCTTTTTTTTGTTTTCTCCGGGGGGGGGGGGGTTCTCTGGTTGTAGGGTCCTCGGTCCTCCGAATTGAAGCTGACATTTCTGAGCACTTCGACTGCAGGGGCGCGCCAAAATGAGCCTTGGGTGAAACCCTTTTCGCTTAAAGGGGGAGGCAACAATATACATTAAACCCTCCTAAAAGACGCGTTGCTCTCCCAAACATAGGGCCCGGACCCTTCAGATTTGCTTGGCTTTCGCGAGACGTGCCCCCAACGTGTTTGGAAGACTTCGTCGCACGGCAATGATTTTCTGTGATTGTTTGCTTGCCAAAAGCCAGCCAGCCAAAGAGCCATATCTTGTCTTGAACCTAAGTTTCGCTGATGTGAATAAAATGAATAGTCAACACCTAGGCTGATGGATTGGAAGAGACAGTCTGAGCTGAGCGGTGGTAAGACGCTTTGCCGCTTGCGCACATTGCAGGCTCAGCAATTGGAGCTTGCCTCTGAAAAGTGGTGCAAGTTGTGTAGTGATCCTGTGGGCAAGCAGGTCAGCTGGCCGTCGAGCGTCCATCTACAAACGGCTCCCTCTCCCGGCTTCATTGGGCCCATCATGGCCCATCGCTCGCACTCACGAAACCCGATGGCATCCGCCCCGGCCTTCTTGAAATGGACCCTGTCCTGCTCCTTGTCGCGGCAAAATCGCGGGGACGCAACATCGCGGGGTGTCAAATAGAAGGATCACACACATGGCCATTCTATCAATCTGTTCAGTGAACTGTACAACGTTTGCAGGGAACATGAATTAAACAAGAAAATAATCGTGAAACCTTCGTGCAGATTTAGCCGGAGCTTTTAGTCTTGTAGACCTCACAATCAACATTGCGCTTTCCCCAACAGTGCCTGGACAAAAGTGAAACCGCTAGTGTTTAGGGGAAATTGAGGCTGTACCCCACGTCAATACCAATTTGACTGCTGGAACTGTTGCCCAAACCTCGTCAAACTTCCAACATAAGACGTTCATGGATCGATCGCAGGAACACTTGGGTCCCCATTGAACCGAAGCCTTGGAAGCCTTTTTAATCAGGTCTTCTGACCAAGCACACATCTCGTACAGCCCTGCATCAAGTTGGGGTAGGCTCACGGGGCCCAACAACTTTTCGCAGGCATTGCAATAACTAATGGTTCGATGGAACATCAGCTCAGCCCAAGCAACTCACGTAAGCCCACTCAGGTTTGTCTCTAAAGCGGATGTCTGGTCTCCTTTGAGCTTCACTTCGAAGCAACGCCCAACAATTCGACCCTCAAACAGAACTCCTCCCCACCAGCTGTCAACAACGGCGCCATTTCTTTGGAGTCTGCCTCTGTACACGAACTCTGCTGTGGCGTTGACCCACGAGGCTTAGGCACTGGCCGCTCAGAGTCTCAGCAAGGCCACTCAGCTCCATGATCTCCCATGCGGGATACAACATCGGCTTGCCCGTCTCGCACTAGGTCTTCTAAAAAGACGTAGCAAGGCAGAAACAAACACAGGTGCACTGAGTGATATTGAGCACTTTGGGCATGCCGATGTATTCTTTGCTGAACACTCGCAACACACTGGCGCTACCCAATCTCAGGTGCCAGACTTCTTGAGGGACCTGCAAAGGCAATGCGCATGTACAGGCCCTGCCTGTAATGTCGGGACAAACCACATACCTCTGAGGTACCATTGCCATTCCTTTGGTAAATTGGTTTGTGTAACCTTGCCCCACACTTCTCGAGCCAGTCGGTAATAGGGGCAACTGACCAACTGGCCGCATCACAATTGGTGGACGCACGGAACCCTCCTAAGTTTGAAGCTGCCAAGGAAGCTTTCATCGCAGGTGGACGAAGCCGTCCAAAAAAAAGTAGTCAAGGAGTCAAGGCACTTCCACGTGCCGGAATTTATTTCCCCCGGTGAGTTTGGGGCGCAGTGAACATCGTCAATGCGTCCAACGGAGACAATCTCACCATCGTGACAAGCGTCATGAGGCAAACCTCGATCGAGTCAAACAGAAGACGGTTCGTGGCTGTAACTAAACCTCCCATGCCTATGCTTATCATGGGCTCAGCGGATGGATGCCTCGGTGCGTCCCTTTTTGTTTGTTGCCGTTTTTAAGTGAGCAAGCGATGTAGTCTTAACCAGGTTTGCCGCAAAGGGCAAAGTCACCAAAACAGAGGGGGCAGAAGGAGTTCCTGCAGATCGCCTCTCACTCCAGTTGCCTTGTTTGACACCTTTGGAGGGGTGCTTTTCGCCCGAGCTGCTTTTGGGAGAAAAAAAGCAACTGCTCACTCACAGGCCCTGTACAGGGGGCAGTCAAATTGGCTCTGGTTCCGAGGTAGCATGGACTCCCATGCGGCCTGGCCAAGGCCTGGAGTCATACTCAAATACGACTCCAGCCAAATGGGTGGCTTGTGACTTGTTTACATTCTTTCGGTTTGCTTTGAAGGGAAACCACAAGAAACACTACCTTTTGCCAGGTCCCCAAACAAAAAACACTGCCAAATACTTGAATCGTGTGACCGAATCGCAGCTTCGCCAGTTGTCCGTCGAGATTTCTCTCCCCAACCAGGCTGTTTGCCGAACTTCTGCCGCAAGATTGCACCCCTTTCCCGGTGTCCCAACGGTGTGCCCCGGCCTTTGGATGAAGAGAGCTGCCTGAGCTGGAAAGATGGTTGGGCAAAACACAAGGGGGTTCCAAACAACTGGGGACCACATTGAATCCTATAACTTATCCTGTAAGGGAAGCAAAGTTTGGGGCCAGTTTGCTCGGGCGCGCAAAGTCCACAGTATTGCCAACCGAGCGGCCCCCACCAGCGTCAGCAGGCCCAGAACAGTGGCTGTGCGGCCTCGTGCGGCTTGTGGGTTGCTTCCCCAAAATGACATACAAAAAGAGCACGGCCCCACCCACCCAGGCCTCAAATAAAGAACCAATTGTCAAGGCCTCAAGAACTCAAAAACCCAAAGGCAAAAAGACAGCCAAGCAATGCGATTATTCCCATGAAATGAAAACCTATAGCAGGAAATCAGGAAAGGATTTTGACATTGGCCCCCAAAAAGACCCAAGCAAACTTGGCCCCAGTTTCCTCAGTGGATTCTTAGCGACTCTTTGGAACCCCAAGGACACCAAGCCAATGTTCTACCTTTGTGTCATCATCTTTTGCACGCTTGCAACCTTGTAGCAAGGCACAGGATTTTTCAAGGGTTCATGTGGCCCTCCTTGTGCCAGGCAAAGGCACGAAGCCCGAAAGCACTACGGCAGGAGATGCAAGCCGCAAAGCAGCGCATGATTTGCCAAGCATGAAGACAAGGTGACAGCGGGATGTGTATTGTCAACATGCATGTCACGCAAGTATTACGGGAGAAACAGGTTAAGTATTTCATGCTACCTCCAGAGCCGACCAGTCAAACTGGGTCAGTGTTCAAGGCGAATGGATTTCAAAACACTTGCTGTGTCAAAGCTGAAACCTATACTCTTCTGCCCACTTTGGGCGCCACCGACAGGTGCGAGTGCAAGTTGGATCAATGTGGTGTAACGGACAGGGCATGTTGGAGTCCCACTGGAAGCAAATGAATTTGGGTTTGTGGGGTGGTTTTGAAGGGAGACTACATGGAAACACATAAAGTCGACAGTACATCTGGCGGTTCATCCTAGGAAGTGGAAGTTGCTTTCACACGCATGGTTCGGGGCCAGCCCATGGCAAGTGGGACATTCTTCGTGATACCACAGTAACTTTCCATGACTGTGTAACTTAGGGCTGCCTGTGGCATAGAAAATGGTCCCAAACCCCATAAGCAAGTCCCTCCAGAAATGGACACTGGAACTAACCTCCACAAATGCGGGTGTATGTTTTGGTTGAGGGTACCCTTTTAAGGGCTAAACAGAAACCGAAAGGATCCCCCTCCCCATTTGTCGGACTCCTTGACTTGGACATCAAATTGTTGGGGTTCCATATTTTGAATTTCAATGGATTCTGGACCCGGTGAATATCAAGTCCAACCATTTTTGAGGTGGTTCCCTACAGACAAGCTTAACCCGAGAAGTGGCCCAGCCTGGCCGCCAGCGGCTTGCTCGCTGCTGAACCCTTAAGGCAGCCTGGCGATGCGTCACGCGGCTAGAAGAGGGCACAGCGGCCATGCCGTCACAGGCCCATTGCTTGATATCAAGCTAAAAAGGAACGGACCTTGAAGAATATAGTTTTTTTCCCATTTCAAGTTCTTCAGCGCTTAGCTTGGGGCTGTATCAACTCGTAGCATCTCCACAAAGCGCAACTCAAAAGCGTCTTGCTCATCGCAACGCTAATTACTCAAAGCAAGAAGCTCAAGCACCCAAGGGGCCCCAAAAAAAACATGGCTCTCCGAAATGGACATTCCTCTAAAAACTATTTTTGTGATTTCCATGTTGAACCCGGTGCCTTAGTCTGAATGGAAGGCGGGAAGGACGGAAAGGACAAAGTGGTGTATTGACAACTATTCAAAAGTTAACCTCAAAACCAGCCACGAAAGGGGCCCATGGGTTGGATGGCTCGCAGGTGGCAGTCCCTTTTGCGAACGCAAGTAAGTCCCGGCGTGGCACGGTGATACACCCGAAGTAACTCCTGTTCTACCCTCCCAAACATGCAACACAGGATCCCTTTCCAAAAGCAATCTGCCAAAACGGGGTCTGTGCACTTCTGTGTTTGTGTTGGAAGCAGGGCATAGGCCCTGCTTTAGAGGGCAACCAGTTACAGTCACTCAAAATATAATTTGCGGGCATACATAAACTTGGAACGACGCTTACCAGACTCACCAGACAATCCAATTGAAATCAACTGGTGTACGACCAGTGGCCGCTTGACAAAGACCATTTGCTACAAGCATTCGCGTGAAGTTTCGGCTCAGTTTGGAGATGATCGGCAGATTGAATTCTCGGGAGTGAGCAGGAAAACACTCTTTCAGCAAAATCATGCTGGAGTCCAACAAGCCGCGAGTCACACACGCAGATTTCTTGAAAACAACCCTCGGTAACCTTGCCAGGTTGTTGCCGCACAAAAAACGACCAGCCGCTTGCCTGCCTCCACGAACGATGCCTCGAAAGAAGACGCACTGTGTGATTCTTGGCAGGGCTTCAGCTCCTAACGCGCTCTCATCAATGTGGCGGACTGGCGGAAAACGATGTGTCAACATCTAGGAGTTCCGCGCCCGAAACATCAGGGAAGACTTTCTTGAGACATCTTGCAGGCAGCCATGCTGCAATACACCCACGCGGGCGTACAACAACTAGCAAGCCACAAAAGTGGCACTTGACATTTGCACAATTACATACACCTGAATGGGACAAATTCGGGGTAAGGGATCTCCGAAATGGGGCTCAATTTGCGCATGATGTTCGTACAACTGTTATCAGCACACATGCAGGTCAGGAAGAAATAATAACGCCAACTGCGCCCATGCTTGCCCACCCGCTACCACTTGTGGGATTATAGTCGAAAATGCTCCCCAGGCTTGGTGGGAAAGGAAGCGCTGGCTAATAGCTAATCCGGAGTTGTGCTACGTGTTTTCCGAATGACTGTCTGAGATGCTGAACAGGAGGGTCGGCCAGGAAAGCCAGAACTGTTAGACTGGCGGTGTTTGCCCACTCTCTACAAGCTTCAACATGGAATACGAGAAACAAACATGCAAGCTTCTTGGCTGCGACTATCAAATGCCGATTCATGTTAGTTTTTGCGTAGACTGAATGGATCTACTCAGCGCTGGTCTCAGTCCAAGCAAATCCTGTGGTCATCGCCACAAGTTCAACAATCACCAAAACAGCACCGATGCCAAACCACAAAACAACAACCCTCCTGCGAGGTTGGTAAACTAAATATGTTGCACCACGACAACACCACGCAAAGAGCTGCACGAGCCACGGTTGTTTGAAGGTCTCATGAAACCCTGGAGTCTCAGTTTCTTCTCGAACCTAGCAACAACGGGGAACTCAAGCATTGAATCTCTGCCAAACACACCAGGCGACTATTTAAAGCCAGCTGCATTGGCCAGTCTATGGTCAGGAAACCATCGCAAAAGGGCTCCTGGAAAGGTCCTGAAATCCAGAAACCCAATATGCCTCCTATGGCACGCAACTGCAATGAAATGCGCGACGCCTCCCATCACCCACTCCTTGATGAGATATTGGCCATCCCCGCCTGAAGCTGGCCGCTGTGCGTGATGCCAAAGCAGTGCTGGCACGCATTAGGTGACTAGGTTGCTGAAACGCTAGCAGCGCTTTGCTTTCGCGGCGGTCAGCCCCAGCTCCAGAGCTCAGAGCTGAGTGACACGATTCCACAACTTGCTGGAAGTAGTTCTCAAGTCAACGCATTTTGTACGTCATATCTTGCATGCCCAGGCAGACCCAGGCAAGCGCGGCCTTCCCGCCAAAACGCGTGCGAAATGCGCTCGCCGCGCGGCTCCAACGCGTCGACGTAGTCTACGTGACAACTTCGACAGCACCACGCCCACCCGCCTGCCCACTTTTCACTTAGTCATTGAAAAACGCCACCTTGTCGAAACTGCAGAGAGGAGATTGCGATTATTAATGTTACGTCTCGATTCATAAGACTAGAAAAGAGCCTACACTTTTTCCGAGGGTGAAATTTGGCAAAATGCATCAATTGAAAAAAACACACAAAAAACAAACGATAATTCCAAAAACTCAAACAATCACCCCAAAACCAGGTTTGGACCATGCCAAACTCTGCGCGCGCTCCAACAAATATCAATCAATGGTCCTTGAGGCTGCAGTGCCCTGCCAAAATCCGAATCATCTGCTCCCAATCTAGCTCCTGAAGGCTGCAGTTCCCTACCAAACATTTATAGAACCCCAAACTGTGACGAAGCCCCAGAAGCATCCCCAGCTCTGCAGATGCAAATTTCTGACTAAACCTTGAGCCGAAAATGCAAACACAACAATCAGAGCAAGGGTATCCGAGACAACACCCCCAAAACCAAAATCAGGGCCATTGTTTCAGTGGACTAGATGGTGCCCTGACCCCAGCCCAACCCCAATTTTGCTTGCCTATTTCAACTCAGCCAGGCTCCTATACTTTGTCAGGCGCAGAATCCAAAACCAGCTGTGGCCCTGAGAATGCATATTCTTCACAAAGCCTGTAAAAATCCAAAAATCCGAGCAAGGGTGGTCCCAAAGCCAGAATTGACTTTTCAAGCCCTTTGGAATGGCCCACTACACTTTGTCAGTCACAGAACCCAAAACCAACTGTGACCCCTGAAAGGCACAGCTGCCGGCTGCAAGACTAAAGTAGTATTCCAAACATCTGTTCAGCTTCAATGACTAAAGTCGTATGCCCAAAACATCTGCTCAGCAAAAAGCGATTGCAAGGCTACCTTTTAAGGTGGTATGCCAAGAAGCCTGCTCATCAAGAAGTGGTTGCGCGACTCAAGTAGTATTCCAAACAATCTGCTCAGGCAGAATCAGTTGCAAGACTACCGTGGTATGCCAAAAACTGCTCGGAAAGAAGTTGTTGCAACACTAAAGTAGCACTCCAAATTGCCTGCTCAACAAGAAGCGGTTGCAGTTCTAAGGTAGCATTGGGCCCGCCAGGTCCTCCGCTGTCTGGATGTTCCAAAGTTTACTGAGAGAAAGGCAAGGGCTGCGATGGTTGCCGCTCGGCAGACAAGCCGTCTGCAGAAATGTTGTTTTTGAATAGGAAGTTTTCGTGCGAGCACTTGGCAGCGAGCGCCGTTGCGAAGCTGGACCCATTGCAGGCCCGCGCCGCCGCTTGCCGCCCGCCTGCTTTGGCCTGGGACAGCGCTGCTTATGACGAGAACTTGCACGCGCGACCAAGGCGTTGTCTGCGACGCGCCTTTCGTTTGGCGACGGCAGTCCATTCGGGTTGCCTTGTGGGAGCAGCGCGCGCTGTTCGTTTTGCAAGAAGACTTGCGAAATGAGTATCCTTCTCCTTGACCGTAAAAAAAAGTCACCATAATCCAGAAAGCAGCTTGCGCAGAGTTCAAGCGGACGTTGCGAAGGCTCAGCATGAATGTTGACGAAAGCGTACCATATTGCTACGGCTGACCAGCTCCGGAGCATGTCAAGCACAGGGCATACCTAAAGAGAGGCATCACCTTCTCAAACATTGAGCAGGGTAGAGACGGATTGCAAATGGCACCCAAGTCCAACCCTAAATCCCATTGTCTTGCTACAAATGGGGCTGGGCCAATGATTTCAGTTGTGCATCCAAAAAGTGAGGATGTGCAAGGAAAAACGTCAGTAAACCGATGGTGCCCAAGGTCCAATGAGGCTGGGCTGAGCATGTTGCTTTCTTTCACGCTCGTCTTGCAGACAACATGCCCAAGAGGCAAGAGGCCTCACTACATTTCAGTCTTTGAGATCGGACAATGCAAAAATGCAAGAGAATGTCAGAAAATAATATTAGGAAAAACCAGTCAGGCACCCTTGGGCGCATGTTGAATGAAACACATGGCCGGAACATACTATGACACCATGAAAACAAATACAATGTTAATATGGAGCAGGCCTGACAATGATACGTTCAGTCAAGAAGGGGACAATCCTAATACTTTGTATCACTTTGTGCCTTCCTTTTGCTCTCTACATCGTGGTTGCCCTATTTGCATAGAGCAACCTCTTCAAACCAAGATCCCCGCGTAAGACACATGTCTGCACACATGGATTTCCCCTCACCGTTGCCTGTCAAAGTGCCAACGCCACACCCTCTTTGGCACTGAACATTTCAGTCTCAAGAAGCGAAACGCCTCGAGGAGCGGCGTTTTGCGTGCAAGCAGCGCAGAACGTAGCCCAGGCGACGGTAATAGTTCCGCACACCTGCCACGCAAGCTTCAAACAAATTTCGCTTGCTTCTTGACACTTAGGCAGGGGGTCTGGGTAGTTGAAAACTAGCCTACTGATTCCATTCAAGGAACTCGAGCAATGTGATATTGGTACATTATAGGGCTGTGGCTCCAAAAATGGGTATAGTCTGGATTGCTGCGTTTCGGTCTGAATCGGTCTGGATCACCTATGGGGTTTGGCCTTTGATCCGGACCTCGACTTTGGAGCCGCCGCCGCCGCTATATTATATAGAAATCCGCCCAGTCGAGCGTGTAAATGGCAGTCCGCAACTTGGTCTTCCTTCGGAATCTCTTATCAAAGCTGAAGGCTTCTGGGACTGCTATTTTTTGGGCATGCTGTGCTGGGTGTCCAAAACCTGTATTTTTAAAGTGTTTTTGGGTCTTTCGTGCTACAAATCTGCGTTTCGTCTCTAGGGGGGGGGTTCCCATGCGCGGGATCTGCATCCCCAGCATCATCGGGATTGCCTGGTTGCCATGAGTTTGTCTCTCTTTTTTTGCAATTGGCCTGTTAGGGGTTTGGGTGGGGCCAAGCGCAGTGATACTTTGAGGAAGAGTGTTGTTTGCAATTCCCCACCTGTACGGAGCAGTGACTGCGAAACTTTGGAAGTCTATTTTTATGGTATTTGCGGGGGGTTGCTAGTATCGGTTGTTGATGGTTGGTTTTTGGGAAATATGGCTGCAATCCCAGCATTCCCCACATCTCTGGAATTTCCTGTGTTTGGTCAATGTTGCGTGTCTGAAAGTCTTAAAATCTTGAGCGCGAAGATTGGGTCTGTTCCTGTAAGTTGTGTGGTTGCATCCCTTGCATTTCCAGCATCCTCAGCACTGGGACATGAAAAACAGGAAAGTGCCAAGAAGAGGTACCCTGCAGCCGACCTCAGAGGGGCGTTGTTTGGTCTCTTTTCACTTGTTAAGAGCCCCATATGACCTAGGCGAAAAACGTCTTCTTCCTTACCCAGGCCTCAGAAAGGCGTTCTTTATTCTTTCCACTGGGGCGTTGCTTGTTCTCCTTCCAGGCGTTAAGAGACCCATGTGACCTAGGCAAAAAGACGTCTTTTTCCTGACCCCAAACTTGAGGTACCCCGCAGCCGAACTGAGAGGGGCGTCGTTTGGTTAAGAGGCTCATATGACCTAGGCAAAAAGACGTCTTTTTTCATGCCCCAAATTCGAGGCACCATGCAGCCGACGTCAGAGGGCGCTGTTTGTAATCATCTTTTTCCTTATCCCAAATTCGAGGCACTCTGCAGCCGACGTCAGAGGGGCGTTGTTTGGACTCCCTCAACACGTTAAGAGCCCGATGTGACCTAGGCAAAAGGACGTCTTGCTCCCGGCCCCAAATTCGAGGCACCCTGCAGCCGACGTCAGAGGGGCGTTGTTTGCGTTCTCCTTCCACTCGCTAAGAGCCCCACTTGACCTAGGCAAAAAAAAAGTCTTTTTCCCGACCCAAAATTGGATGTAACGTTTCTCTTTGCTGCGAAGCTTGGCAAACCTGAAGGCTGAGCCTTAACCTGGCAATTGGCAATTGAACGTGGCACGCAAAATCTAGCCACACCAACATCAAAGTGCGGTGCAGTTTCGCAAGAATATAACGCAAGTGTAAACAAAACACTGCCGCACGATGTTCGGCCAACAAGAAGGATGGACGTCGGCAAGGACAATCCTCATGTAGAAAGCTTTATCCGCTCGCATCCCTGAGTAAGAGTGGACAAACCTTCAACGGACTCAACTGTATGATACTGCTCATTGCGTCTCACATCCAGCATGATCCGAGCAAATAAGATATTCAACTGGAAACGCATGGATGAGGTATGTGCCCTCATGAATGATAGGTCACCATCCTGGCATTGGGAAGCAAAGAAAAGTGGCGGCATGGCGATGCCGTGTCGGTTCGGGGATTTTGAAACCCAAGGCGAAGATAATCACTGATTTGGAAGGACCAGTTCCTGGGACTCAGACTACTGACCAAATTCGCTGCCCGCACCAGACATCACGCCCCCGGAGATCCGCTCGGCCTACGCCCGCGATCACGGAGATTCTCCGGTACCCGTGCGCTGCAGCGATGAGCTCGGCCGTGCCCATGAGGGTCTTTCCGATGCCTCGCGCGTGTGGGAACCTATTGGAGTACTCCTCACGGGAGAAACGCTGAAAAACCCTGCGTTGAGGAATCTGCAGAGCGGGGGACCTCCATTTTGCATTCAACGAGAGCTTCACTCCTGGGTTCCCAGCAAATCGACCCAAAGTTGCGAGTAAATATGGGTTCCAGGTGAGTCTGTCTGGGAACGCCCTTCCGTTTGTTTTGACAAACAAACCAAGAGGAAACCAACTGAAACTGCTTTGGAGGACTCCCAATCTTGGGACAAAGCCTGGCATGAAAGCAACCCTTTTTTTTGGGCTGATTATACCAAATGTTTTTGCGGATTGATTTGCAGATTCAACTGGTGGCTCTGATATTCAATATTTAGGGCCACACGCCGGGACCACCCCCAACCTCTTTGAACAAAGCGGGCACGAGCAGGAAGCTATGGCTACTGTAAGTCCTCCCCAAGTCTCTAAAATTCCCCTTCCTTCTCCAGTTGCTTCTTTGTTTCTCTCCGGGTGTCAAATAAGAGTTCTGAAAGAAACACGACAATTGCACATTCACCAATCCCCTTTTGGCTTTGGGGAAGAAACATGATGGGCTCTTCAGCACCCGGCTCTCAGTTCCGGCCCAGACGCCGATATGCTGAGGCCGTTCGTCGTCCTCCGCGCGGTCACCCTCAGCTCTGCCAGCAGCCACCAACGTGCCATAGACGTGGAGTTCACGAATCAGCGCGCAGCCAGAGAGTTCCTGCAGCAAGTTTTGGATTTGTCATCCCCTTCCCTTCGCCACATGAGGGGAACTATGCCATCTGCTTTCACTAGCAGGTTGCAAGTCGAAACAGAGACGTGGATCCCAATATGAGGAACTACCAGTACCCATAGCAAGACAACCCCAATACCAGTGGGCAATTTATTGAATCTGAGGAAGAACCCTCTTTCCACGAACCACAGCAGTGGACAGGCTGGTCTTGGAAGACTGGCATGTTTCAGAGGCCTTCTGTCCACGTCCATGATTGCTACACAGAGGGGCACCTGTAGCATGGAATCTAGACGCCACATTGGCCAGTGTGCCTATTAGCCAGCTTGGTTTTCTGGCCAACAGTTGCGGATTTCCCCCCAAGCCCGAACACACACACAAGCAAATACACAAGCAAAGACAACATTGTCCACAAAACAAACACGCAAGCGTGCAAACACATAAATTATCTAGCGCAGGCAGGAAAGCAGGCAGGCAGGCACGCACTCCGGCAGGCAGGCTGGCACGCAGGTACGAAGGCTCGCAGGCAGGCTCTCAGGCACATTATGTTCAGATGTTCAGTTTAACTATTAAAAGCCAACGTTGCTCGCATATCGAATGCAACACCAAAAGCGGGCCAAAGTGTTGCGGGCGTGCCAAACATACCAAAACCCCCGATTGCCGAGATTGGGCCGTTTGGCCTGTCTGACATGGTCGCCCTTACGTCGTGTTCCTGTCAACCGGTTGAATGGGCGACCAGGGACCGTGCTTGTCGCAATTGCAGCATCCAATCCTGTTCATTTGATCCCTTTCACCTCTTGGCCTTGGGGTTCATCAAACGAGCAGCGTATCAAATCCTATCCCTGCCATCCCTGCTCAAGCAGCTTCCTTTAGACACCAGCAAGCTGCGCTACTCAAAGTGCAGGAGGACAAAGGCAGATATTGCCTGGAGTTATCTGGCGATATCTAGCCTTCGCAATGCTGCTCGTCCCCTGTACAGGATTCCTATAATATGCATCCTCGCTCGCCCCACATATAGACAAACTCTTACATATGGAATGCATGTATCAACATATGCTAGATATAGACTCTTGAAAACGCTGAAGTGTGCCGGGCAGCCGGGAAGATGGGGCCTGGAGCCTTGTCGTCGTCGTTGAAGCGCAGCCGGAGAAGGCCATAGAGAGTGGCATTGTCATCGTCCGCTGCAGGTTGCTCCTAAAGCCACAAAAGCTGCTCTTCAGTCGGAACAACAAAAAACTGTCATTTCTTGAAAAGCCAACCAAAACTGGGACGCCTACTTCGGACATTTACAGGGACCTTGGGGTCTGCTTGCGAGAAACATTTTGACCTGTGGTAAAGCAATGACCCCAATTATGCCCGCGCTTCCTTGGTAAAACATGGTCCACGAGCCCGAGGAAAGAAGAGCATGCCTTGATTTACCTTCGTTGGGTGGTTGTTGCTGGAAAATACAAGAAGAACTTGGCAAGCAAGCTTATTGGTTCGGGGTGGCTACCATCCCAATACCCCTATACACTTGGGGGATAGGCATACCAGACCCAAATCGTCCAAACCAAAAAGGGGTGAGGAACCAAAGGGGAAAGGTTTTGCCCCGAATTCATGCCTCCCTCTGTAAAAGCTTTAAGGCACACCGGAAGAAGCCAAACGTTTGACGGGGTCACGACTGTGAGCTCGCCATGGGAGAGGTTGCCCTCAAGGCAAGCATCCATCATCTCTCGGGAAATGGATCGGATCGCCTCCATCCTGGTAGAAACTTGAATTCAATGTTCTGTTTTGCACTTAAAGTTTGGTCATCGTTGTTGCCTCTAATTGCAAATCGCAGCCTCTCACGAAAGGCAATGGCAAAAGGCAATGAAGTATGTACCCTGAAAAATATAATATGTGTATTATATATATATATATAAAGGTCTGCCCCATTTTCCTCTTGGGGCTAAGAGTTGGAGGGTAATGAAATTCTTGGACACAGACCATGTTTAGTCGCGCGGCGTTTGTCTCTTTGAGTTTTGCCTTTAAAGCTGTTAAACACAGTGCTCAACCAACCAAACACAAAGAAACACAGAGCAAAATGCAAACCAACCCCAAATTGTGCAACACATGGAGGTGCCACAGCATGGTTTTGGAAAGTCCAACTTTTTGTGAGACCAACGACGGCAAGCCCCATACCCGGGTCTCTTGATAATTCATGTTGCCTGCATTAATAAACCCATCCCACTATTGGGCGGGGGGTCACCACGAAGGAGAAGGATTCCAACTAAACAGGGACACCCCCTATTAATCACCCAGGGAACCATGCATCAGGGGTCAACATTATCCCAGAAACTGTTGAACTGATTCAGCTTTGTTTCGTCGGCTTGCGCGAGAAAACCAGGAAACTACCCCGCATGGCTGGCCCAAATGGAGGGACCCAAGGCCAAAGGCCCCACGCCTCCTCGACCTTCTTCTCCGCCTCCGCCTCCCTCAGTTTCTGCACCGCAGCCTCCGCCGCCTTCTTCCGCTCCTCCCGAGACCCCCCGGCCGCCAGCGCCGCCGCCTGCGGCGTTTTTCGTGGGCTCGCGCTGGACGTGCTCGGATGGAAGCGCGGGGAAAATGATCAAATTGCCCATCCCGTTCCAGCACCGTCACAAGTGTTGACCAAATCTTCAAGTCGTGTCCACAAGCCAGTCTTGATGGTTTCGTTTGAAGTCTGTCTTATTGAGGCTCGGTATCCTTTTGGCTAAAAGAGAAACTGACGTTACGAAGCACTTTAGAGGGTTCGTTCGGCACACCCATCTTCCCCATTTTCAGGGAACTTGCTCAAATGGGCCAACCTTGTGGGGGAATCGGAGGAGCTGAAGAGAATGGAGAAGAAAGCCTTCAACAAGGGCGAAGGAAAGCTGGCCTCTTGCACTGGAGAAGTGGGGCATCAAGGCTCCAGGGGATGTAGACAGCTTTGGGCTTCCTAATCGGCGACTGGCAATAAGACAAATACAGACTCTGTCTATTGGTTCACAGGAAAGCGCAAAGAGGGAGAGGGGGCGGGGCGGAACACGCAGGGCAGGTTCCTTGGCGCCTTCATCTCTTTCTGCGCGTTGGCGTCTCGGTAGGGTGCCTGAAAGCAAAGCGCGTCATGCCGCCGACGCTGAAGGTACGACTGTGGCTACAGTAAACTGGTGGTCCGGCTGCTTGCTCGATAGTGTGTACAAAACAATTGGTTGCGAATGTCCAAGTGTCATCTTTGAACTTTGCGGATCTGCAGGTCTTGAATGAGTGTTGGGCGATGCTGCCAAATTGCAACTGGCCAAGCAACAACGCTTGGCCAAGCAAGTTTATTAATATGTGTTCACATGAGAAGCATGTAGGCCCTGTCGGCAAGCAACTCTTTGTAAACACTCCAAAATTTCAAGATTCTAGCATGCAACACAAGCCTGAAAACAGTCAGAAGTTCAAGCCCCGAGGGCCCCGATGGCAAAGCGTGAGATACACAAGACAAAAACCACAATCGCCTCAGAGACAGAAGATTGTGAAGTACCTTCCCACTTGGTTTCAAGACATCCAAACCACCAACAAGACCGAAGCTTCGGAAGCTTCCGTCCAGCCTTGCGCTGGTTCTTCTCCTCAGGGATGCGAAAGTTCGCCGACATGAAACCACCCAAAATGGTGTTCCTTTTGGTTTCCCTTTCATTCCACCAAAACGGGGCGCCCTCGATCGCATGGGAGAAACAAAAAGATGTCATTAAACCAGTCGTGATTTAAGACTCAAATGATGGTTTTGCAAAACTATCCCAAATGGCTGGATGTTGCTAGTTACTCTGTTAAGCCAATAGCTACTTTGCAGTTGTCATACTATTCAACGGAATTCCCTCATTATGAAACAACTCCCGTGTACAAAAAACTATGTTCCAAATTTGGGGGTCTTTGCTGGTGTCGCCGGATGAAGAAGCCACCAGTGTTGGGGTCCCCGGCCCAAACACCCAGTGGCTAAGGAAAAGGAACAACACTTCTTGATGTTAAAGCAACCCCCGTCCCCGCCAAAGATTCTAGGTCAGAGAGGTTAGAATAAGGGTGCCCTTTTTTTCCTCCCCCAAAAAAAGAAACGGTAAAAGGGCACCAATTGCTGGGGGACCTAGGTGAATGGACAAAGGGCGCTGGGGATTGGGCCATACGCATTCGCCTTCTTGGTGGCCTTCTGCCCCCCGGCGAGGGCCCGCTGCGTGGCGCCGCCGCCGAAGCCCCGGTGCCCCCCCTCGATGGAGATGAAGAACTCCCGGCCCCCTCGGGACTCGAGTCTGGGGCGTTCCGACAACCCGGCAAATACCCGCGAATTCGCCTGGCACATTTTCAAGAATCCGTTTTCTATGGGTGTGTCCCTCCGTATTCAACCAGGGTTGACATCATACCCCGAACAAAAATGGGTTTTGGTATAGGCAGCATCTGAATCCCAACATGGGGGTCCTGTGGACATCTGAGAACTAGGGAACCAAGGGCAACCTCCCAAACCGTCTCATTTGCTTGTTCAGGGAAACCTCATCATGCAATGGGTGAATTCACACATCCCTATGGTGACGTTGCTGGAATTTGTCCCTATGGGTTGCCTTGGGCAAAACAGCAACACATCTAAACAGGACTGTCCCCATAAGAAACATCTCCTTCAGAACCTCCCAGTTTTCAGGGTTGATTGCAACCTCCCGGGATAGGGAAGTCGGAAGGCAGCCTTCCCGACGCCTAACTATTAGGCGGCGAATGGTTCTTTTGTCTCACGGAACTGGAACAATACACCCAGACCCGCAACTTTGAGCCTGGGCAAACATGGATTGTGTCAAACACGCCGCACAATGGAGGTCCAAACACGTGCAACAAACTTCGTAAGCAAAACATATTCACATGTCTATGGTACAAACTCGAAGTGCAACGGCCGTATGTTGAAGTCCACGTGCCCCACGAGTCAACTCGCGCACTTCATGGCCAAACAAAGGTGGAAGCATCTACCATGCACAGCATTCATGCATTGCTGCGCAAGCTTGCTTGTCAAAACCCTCATCATCCCTGCGCAACCTCGAAGCGGTGGCCCTGCCCGCACAACTGGCGAAACCCAAAGTGGAGAAAACTAAAACGCGTCTCTTGACAGTCCTTGCGACTCTTTTTCCTTGCCAGCTTCTACGCGCATAGCCCATGTTCTTCCTCTGAAATGAGGGGGTTGGGCCTGAACCGCCTGTGCCTTTGCAGGATCCAACCCTCGTTTTTGCGCCAAGATGCCGGAAGATCGGTACTCACGCACCTGGGATGAGGCTTTGACCGATCAAATGGTGAGGCAGTGGATTTGCCGTTGGCGGACAGCAAAGTTCATGACAGGGCCTGCCTGATAACCCAGACCAAGTCCTCAACGACTCAGTCATGACTTGTCCGGTCAATGCATGAATTCAAACCAAGACACACCCTCCGTCAAGCCAAGATTCCAACAAAGCAAATCCATCAGATACGGGGAGAAAAACAAAAACAACCAAAAAACAAAAAACAATCCATCCGTCCGTCCGTCCGTCGGTCTATCCATCCATCCAACGAACCAACCAATCAAATTATATAAACCAAATTCAATTCAAATCAACCCAAATCACAACACTCAAATTAATCGAAGCAATCGAAGCAATCGAAGCAATAAAAACGACCAATTCAAGCAACTCAAACTCGAATCCAATCAGTCAAGCAATCAGCCAGTTCAAATCAAATCGAAACCAAATTAAATCAATTCCAATTAATCAATCAAGTGAAATGCAATGAAATCAACTACACGAAATAAACCAACTTAATTCACGTCAATCAACTCAATCAAACCAATCAATCCAAGAAGCAATTCAAGGCAAAACGATAAATCGATTCATTGAGCCAGCCAGCCAGCCAGTGAGTCAGTCAGTCAATCAGTCGGCCTGTGGATCAAACAAACTAATTCACGCAACTCAAACAAGCCCGACTCCGTCATTCAAGTGACATGCACAATCTATCCAATCTACATTTCTCACAAACCACACCATTGCATCAACGACCATGATAGAACCCTTGCCAGCTCAAAGTCAGCCAAGGAGCACGGAGCCTGAGCCCGTCCGCCGTCTCCGGCCAATCCCTTACCTCCAAACGAGTCAACCGATCCACGCTTCAAGGGAAGCTATGCCTCAAAATGTACCCAACAAGTTGTGGCTTTCCGTGGGGTTCCTTTGAGCCAAGCTGAAAAGTGTACTCTCAAAAAACACTCCCACACACACACACAAAACATGAGAAAGTTCCGAGCCAATGAATAAACCAGGGAATTGGATGAAACACAACATGGATACTTGAAAATAAAGCAAGACACATGTTTGATGGACAAGTTCTCCAGAACAACTTGTAAATTATGGAGAACCAACATGACTTGATTGACACGTTTGGTATGTACAATGATGTTGGCATCCAGTGGCCCCAAATTCAGCAAATGCTGGTATTTCTGGACATTTGCAACACATTGAAGGCCTTCATCGCAGCTCAGGACGAGAATCTCTTGCTAGGTCACAAACAGACAGACTCACATGAGATTCTGACCAAATGTTGTTTGTACGGAGGGAGCAATACCTGCTCAGAAAGTGTGAATACAATTTGCCTTTCGCTGACAAAGAGGCCTTCTGAAATATGGCCTTGAAACACATGATGCGGCACAGCGCGTCAACATCGATTGGGCGCGTGGATGGTTGAGGCCTCGTAAGCATCCAACTGCTGCTTGATTCTTGGGCTTGCTTCCTTGGCTCGTTGACTTGCTCGTGACAGCATGGCCCATTAAGGGGGCTGAGACTTGGTCCAAGGAGTTATCAAGGAATCTGACAGTTCACCAATATTGGCTCCATACAGTGTTGCAAGGAATAGACATATGGTCTGGTAGAGCAAAACCAACGGCAGGCTGGGGCAACCCTGCCTCTATATATATATATATACATATGTATATAGACAGCCCATGCAAACCAAAGAACATGGAGACACTGTGACCATACCGCAATGCTGGGGGATGCCTCCCATGGAACAGTCCAGCCCACGAACAGATTGCAGCTTGACGCAAAAAAAGCATTTGCCCAGTTTACGCATCTTCCAAACCCCTTATGTGTCAGCCAAGAAGCTTGTTCTTGGCGCCACTAACACATGCACAGGACCAAAACCGCAAACAGTGAAGGCATGAAGTTGCAAATACAACTACAATTTCTACAATAGTTTCAAGAACCAATTTGTTGGGATCCCCAAACAAAGGACCCAGAGCTGGACTTTACCTACAAGCTCGCCACAACTTTGAAAGCTCATGCATCTCCGATGCCCCGGCTCGACTGGCCTCGCCTCACGGCAACGGATGCAGCGGCAGCACTGACCACGGGATTTCAGGACTTCCTGAGGCCAGTGAAACATGTCAAAGCAGGGGAAGCCTGCTGGTTGCCAAGCAATGGCACACCAAGATTTTCTGCATGTCACGCCGGTTCAAAGCTGGGACAAATCTAACAGTGGATTAAAACACGTCTCCTGCCTGATTGGTACGGGGGCAAAGAAATGTGTTCTGCTATTGATCAACCTGAAAACAAAATTTGCAAGCCACAGTCATTATGCACTAATTATGCTTCGGAACCACATTGGATGGAGAATGACCGCCCATGTTCAAGTGGTCATTTGGTGTGTCTACCCGATTGCCTGGTTGCTCATGTCTAATCCAACAAAGTCGATGATACGCCAACTAAACAAAAACCTATACGCCCCTTTTCAGACTCTTTTAGACGTGCTCTTCGATTCTGAAGGTTAAATGCAACAGTCCATACCCGAAGGTATCTCTTGCATTGGAGGACTTGTTTGTTTGAGTAATTCAAGCGGGGCGGCTCAGTTTGTCTGAAAAGGGTTGACCCCATGCGTTGGATGATTCCAAATAAAAAGATCGCGAATTATTCGAAACCCCCGGAGTGTCCGCCTGATCTCCTTGAGCTTTCCTCTACACTTAATCCCACAGAAACCTCCCCTCTGGGCTGCCGAAATTTATCTCTCTTGGAAAACCAACCCGAATCCGGGCCCGCCATTGCTCGCGGTAACATGTTCCGTTCACTGCGCACGTGTGTCCAAGGCTTATTTCGGACCATTGTCAGAAAGGATGTGGTAAACAACACATTGGAAATAGGTTTCTAAGCAACCAGCTGCTTCTCACTTTCTGAGTGTCCTAATTAACCCAAGCTAGGACGAGGCGGAAAGCAACTGAAGTTCGAGTTCTAAGCCACCAGTTGGCAAACTTTTCCAGATGAACTTCTCCCCTGCATGCCACTTGCACTGTCTCTCTCGTCCAAGTCACAAAGATGGCCTGCCGCAAATTCGTGAGGGAGTTCCCCGCCACAATGGACACCTGAAGAGCGAACAATGCAAAAGGACCCAAGTAACACTCTCGTTTTTTGGACTGGACTTGAAGATTCTGGACTTGGTCAACACCAGTTCTTGAGGGGTGCTTGATTTTAGTGGTCTACCGTTCCTCTGAAGGGTTCCTAGCTCTGAGACTTTCCAACTTCAGGTTCTCAAACAAAGCAACATGGCTTGCCCTCGTTCCCCTTGTCTACAACGAACCTTTAAAACAAAGTTTGTGTGTCCTGAAAGAATCAGAATGCCGCTGCTGGAAATCAAGCGCTGCTGGAAATCAAGCAAACGTGGAAGCTGACCCGTTCGCACGGACCTCGCACAGTAGGCCTAGTCCGAATACGCAGCGCTCGATATGGATCCATGACCCCCTGGCACAAATCCTTGCTCAGCAAGTCTACTCTACATGTTTGATTGTTGGCAGTTACCGCCCGAGTAAATAGAATGGCACGTCTCCAGAAGGATCGCACGAGATAATGGGCACAATGTGTCCAACTAAGACTGCAGACTCCTGGCCTCTGGAATGTCGCGAATGACGCCTCAGTACCAAGCACCACAACCAAAGGTGCTTTTCGTTCTTGCCGGCGCTTACCCACATATTTTTTTCAATCAGTAGCAAAAGAGATAACTACATATTATGTAGTTATCTCTTTTGCTACTGATTGAAAAAGGTACCTAAAAGGATAAATCATCCAACAAAACACCCCGATTTTGCAGGTTGCTGTCCAAGGTTAAAACAAGGGGAGACCCATTGGTTGCACTTTGGCAACGGGCAGAGAGGGGGGGTTTTGCCCGGAAAGTAAAGCAAGACGTGGGAGCAAAGACCGCAAAGCAGGCCCTCACCGAATCGCACAAAGGCCTTCGGGAAGACCATGCTTGGTAGAAGGGTAACCTGAATGACCTTTTGAAGGCTGCAAACATGAGACTCCAAATAGCGGTACGGTTTAAGGCCAAAAAGAGTTGCTACTAATTACCCCTCCAAATGCTCTCCAGGGTCCCCAATTTCGAGACGCGAACACGTTCAACTTAAGCATATTCCAAAAGCCGTGCAGCTGAGCGGCGATTCAAGCGGATCCAGGGGTGCACTTGCGCCTGCAACAGTGGGAAATGGGGTGCCTGGGAGTTTCTTTTCGTGGAGGCGCTTGTTTTTGTGTTCTGCTTTGCTGGTAATTATTTACCCAATGTGTGGACAAACCTTGTCAGACCGCAAACGGACATGCGAAGAAAAGAGACGGCCCCCCTTAGTCCCTAAGCCAACAGACTACCACTTTCGTTAGTTGCTCACATGGCCTTGACCCTTGCCAGCAGCTCGGTCAGCAGCCGTGGATCCTTCTCGGTATACGGCATAAATTTGCCTTCTTTGTACCAGGTCCTGTGCTGCGTGCGGAACAAAGAGCAGAACACGTACATCTGCCCATTCTTTAAGCGAAAATCCGAGACGGATGATACAACATGACACGTGAAAAGCCTTTGCGCACAAAGATGCCAAGGTGTCTTTCGCCGAGCCGCTCGATCCGCGTGAAGGGTGTTACTTCCTAAGCCGTGTCACCAGCAGTCACAGTTTTGGCGCATGCCTGCATCGCTTGCACATGGTTTCAGCCGTCTGTCACACTAAAGCACTCCAGTGCTTTCAAACCCCGTGACTCATAGAACATGCGAACACGTCGACCTGACCAACAATGACAAAGCGGCGCAGGGGTAGATCTTCCAGTGGTCGGCCTGTAGGTCCTCGCCAAAAAGAACCTGAGCGTGCTCCTAATCCAAACTCGGTGAAGCGTCCATCTGCATGCGTGTCCGGACAGTCGCACCCTAAGACCTGACGGGTGTTGGCAACTGAACTGCAGACCAATCGGTCTCCGCATTTGCCAAGGCTTCCAGTGTCACTTGTGCTGCTGTCCCTTGCAAAAAGACTCGCAAGTCAGCCGTCATATCCCCCTTGTACCCCTCATGGCCCAAGACAATGTGCCCACTGCAGCCAAAAGGGGTCAAGTTCGCCAGCAAATTGCGAACACCAACCAGGGATTCCGATATGGGCTTTTGCATGAGCACATCAGCTGAGCACACCACATCCTCAAACATGACCCAATCCTTCTCCGGGTCGGACCCCGGCAAATCTGGCCTGAAGGCAAGGCTGCAACCACACCCTCTAAGTGATCACTGGGTAACACCTCTGCGCACTCAAGAACTGCGCGAAGCCATCTCTTTGATGGACCCTGCTCATTGCCGTTGGTCAGTTTTGGTCTCAAGGTGCTCCAGTGCAGCTGTTTGAGCCTCTCAGTTTATCATTTTCCGATTTCGCCTCAGCTCCGGGAAATACAGACACATTTAGACGTTGGGTGCCGGGAATTTGGGAATGTAATCCCTATCTGTCAAGTTGGAAACCCAGTTTTTGCAGCACTGCGAGTATGGACAAGAACGTGACAGATCAGGGAATTCTACGGTCATTGATCAGCTTCAATGCGACAAGAAACAGTCACTCTGGCCAATCACAAAATAGTCACCACTTGCGCCGAACCAATGGCGCCGATTCTGAACCAATGCATCTGCTTCAAACTGCCGATCTTGTCGAAAGCCTGTCCATTCACTTGCCTTCCCTGCTTGAGGTTAATCTGTAAGATCAGTCCGTGCAAGCAAGCGGCATCAAGTGCAAGTCCACTTTGAAGCCGCAAATCTTGAGCAAACGCGTTGCCCGCACTGCCTGAAGAAGCAAAGGATCAGGCATGACCTAGAGCAAACACGAGTAAACTACATTGCTGTCAACTTGCAAACCTGAACCCCAGGCTGCTTGAGCAATATTTACCCAGATGTCCTACTAAGACGCAAACGTGTGTGCAAAGAATAACAATCCATGGAAACACCAATATTTCAGAGATGACTTTCTTCTCTCTTCCTTTGGACGCCTGCTTGTCATGCACGAGCTATCGTCAGAGTAGCTCTTCAACAAGTAGACTCTCAAAGCAAGGTACGCAGTGAAATGTAGAAAGCCACATGTTCCTTGTAGTACCTGGCGAACTCATGATAGCTAAGCTTCATGTCCATGCATTCCCGTCGACAGGTGCAGGACCCCACAAAGTTTCCAACCATAAGTTTCCCGGCCCAAACTGAAAGTCATGCGAATGTACCAAAAAGGCCCCTTCCTGGATGTGGACCCCATAGAATGGAAGCATGGGGATGGACATACCGTTGACTGTTGACTCAAATGCGTAGTCAGCATATCTAGGGTTGCTGTCCCTGCCCCAAACAACCACAGCATATGGTCAACGCAAACCTGCTTAACCTGCTTAACCTGCTTGATTGTCCAGCTGCCGCAGCCCGATCGTGGCCGCGGTTGATGTGTATCAGGATGTCGTCATTGGTGTGCTGCACACCAATCTGCACCTCAATTTCAAATGACTATGGCACGTTCCAGTCCGGAAGGCAAAGCCTTCGACGCTCTCTGTGATCTATTTCTGTGGGCGAAAAATGCTAGCAGCAAATCGTTCGCATTCGCAAAAAAAACAAACACATTTTGAACTTAATCACAGAACACACAGACAACAATTATGTTCTTTCATATCCCTACATGCAGCTGCAACCAGTGAAGGCAAACTCTCACCATATGCAAGGTCAAATTTCAAAACGCAAAGAAGACACAAGCTTCGACATCATATCAGAATCATGGCATGCGCTCATCGCAAAATGCTAAACTTTGCATCATTCCAAGGGGCGCGTGTGCAGCCGTATCTGCGCAGCCTCCGGACCTCTGCAGGAGTGATGTGGTCTGGCCGCGTCTCCAGCGTGAGGCCGATGATCTTTGTGACAGCCACCTGGCGAACAACCCTGATACCCTTCAAGGAAACTGGTTGCGCGAGCGTGCCAACATAGGTGTGGTGTGTCTGTGTTTTTGGAGGGAAATTACCCTTTTCCCTTTGATCGAATGGAAACCAATAGGAATGCCGCACGTTTCTGCGGTTTTCAATCGGGTTCTTCTCTTTTGACACAGACCCATATGGGACCCTCAAATTGGGAAGCCCTTTTGGGATGGACTTGGACTCGAAAGGACCCAGAAGAAAACAAAGCGCTTGTCGGATCTAGACACGAACAGGAAGGCTGCCGAATCGAAACGAGAACCAAGGAACTGGAATCGTGGGACCGAAACGTTCGCGAACAGAACTGCGGCCCAGGACTTGAAACGTTGGACCCCACCCCGCTGCAGTGTCGGTAAGCAAGCACAATAGAGCTAGAAGGACGTGAGAAAACTTGTGCCCGCAACCTCGAGCTCTCAAGCTTCTGCAAAACGACCAAAGGCTATCAGGGGCTACCAAAGCGCTACCACCAATGACCAAAGGCTACCATCAAAGGCTACGAAGGGCTACCAGGGACTACCAACGACCAAGAACTACCAAGGTACCAAGAACTACCAAGAACCACCAAGGACTACCAAGAGCTACCCAAGAGCTACCAAGGGCTACCAAGGGCTACAAAGGTATGGCGTAAAACATGCAAGCTTGGTGGCTGTGGTTGGACACTTAGACTCCACTGCAACCGAAAAGTAGCAATGTCAGAAAACAAGTGTTCAATGCTACTGCCGGAGTTCAACGGAAGGAAGCGTAGGAAACTGTGGAACCGGAACCGGCGAATCGAACCGATGTCGATCAGATTTCGATCAACCCTGACGGTTAGCTTCATGCAAATCGAACCTACTCGAACCGTGGCTACGCATGAAACGATGGACCAGCGCACAAAGCCGACAGGAGGTCGCACTCCAATGCAGACTTTGCACACAACTTTCCTGAACAGGCAAGGGCCAGAAAAACTTTCCCAACTCTCATTGAAACCCTGACCCTTGGCATTCCCTCTGGATCCGCGTGCATTGAAGCTGTCCGTACAAATCCCCCAAACATGTTTGTGCTATAGGGCCAGGAATGAGGTCAATATGCAGCACCCCTGATCTTGGTGGGTTGCACGTGGAAATGAGGAGGACGAGCCAATAATTTGGAGCCTGGGCGTGGCAAATCTCCCTCTCTGTGCTGCCACTATGGGCAATTCACATGACTACTGCATCATTTTCACGGGGGGTCCAGGTAGAAATACAACAACATGGTCTCCCAACCCAATGTTTCACAAGCATGGGAGGACGAGCCAATATTTTAGAGGGGTCAGGTGTGGCCGGTCCCTTGAGCTTGCGCCTCGTTCAGCTTCTGCTCTTCGAGCAGCGAGCGCCGGGGCCGCACACGGGCCGCCTGAGCAAGCGGAGTTCAGCCGATTGAAATCCAAGGGTCCAACTTTTGAGGTACTTTAGCCGTTTCGACCCCCTCTTCACCCTCAAACACCATCCTCAAATGGTAGGATCGGATTTTGATACAGCGATTCACACTTTGGAAGGCTTCACTCATGGCTCCAAGTCATGGACTCTACACTACGTCTGGCGAGAGCCGGTGAATTGCTGCCGCTGTTGGAGGGCCGGACAACTTGAAGTGGAGGGACCCATGCAGTTCCCCAATGGGAATATCTGGTTCAGGGTTCCCTATATTCTCCCTGTTGACATCCCCACAAGGAATCTCGCTCTTAAAAAACAGCCCCAAACAGAGATGGGCAAACAACATGTACGGGGATGTGTCGCTTTGTATATGGAAACGTGACTTGTACACTTCCGACTGTGCACGACCTATGGCCAAGGGACACTGACAGGTTCGCGTCAAACGACATGATTCCCCAAGCAAGAAACCAACACATTTGACATGAGTAATATGGGTGATATCGGTCGCAAGCCAAAACCCTTTAGGTAGCTGCTGAAAATGAATCGTTGCTTTAAGTTGTTTTTCAATATCTACATTGGGCTCATCCGAAGACAGGCCATATCAGCACAACCCCCAAAATTCCACTGTTGCCCTCTTAACAGAAGGCGACTGTTTGGAGGGATTGATTCTGAGGTTCACTATATCTGGGTGAATCATGATACACCCAGGGGGCACCGAAAGGAGCGTCATGGGTAAAGTCGCAACTACAGTAGTGACGGTAAAGAAGGGGCACCTGTTGGTGCGAAACGCAACCCAAAAGGGGCTGGGTGCCACTGAACTGCACGGGATTACTGCACGGGATTGAACAAGGATCATTCCTAAAATGGAAATGAGGGAATGAGGGAAGGATGTTGTTGTGAGCTTGTTTTGTCCCCCCGATCGATGAGCTGGCTATAATTTGTCCAGACGGCATCGCTCACTTCCTGAGTGGATTGGCCACAACAAAGTCCAAGCTTTTTGTTTACCACTCAAATGGACTTCCCCAAGTTTAAAGTCCAGGAACTCAGCAAGTGAGATGGCTATAAGCTCTCATGAGTGGTCGGAGGACAAAAATCCCCACCCAAACGATGTCCACCCTTCGGGGTTCCGTTTTCTCAGTCGGGGCCCCAGCACAATGAGTTTGGTTTCCTTTTGGTTTCCTTTCAGAACAAAAAGCGGCCGAAATTCCTATCTAGATCATCTGGGTCCAGCCTTCTCGCCCTTCTCGCCCAGCTTGCTGAGCTGCTCGTCGAAGGTGTTGGCGGCATAGAAGAGGTCCCGGCACCACTCCTCCTAGGCGATGAGTTGTGAGGTGTAGCCTCAACCGTGGTACCTGAAATGCTAAAGACATTTTGTTGCATGTATATATATATACACATGCATACATATATTGACATATGGATATCTGACCACAGAACTGTAAATAAGGTATCAATGAGGCATATCCGGCCAACGAACATGCCTGGCTAAGGTCACCACTCACAGCGGAAGCTACAAATTCGGCTAATGGACGTTTGAGTATGTGGGGATTAGCCTTCGGTTTCTTGCTCGGAAGAGTATGCGAACGTCAGACCGACTCAACAAGGTATGACCAATGGCTGATTCCCTTCCATTCCTGAATGTATGTGCCTTGCTATAGGGATGTAAACATGGCAAACTGCCCAAAGTCGGGTCCACCAAGAGCCAACATGATAGTACTTGAGGTACTTGCCAGTCGGTCAGAACCATGTAATCATGAAACCGCTGTTGCCTGGCACAGTCGGCTTCCTTTCAGCAGCTGACCCGGCCTCATGGGTACTGTAAGGCTTCGCTTTTGCATTCCCGCAGCATGTGCGCTGTAGATTCACATACCGCACAACAGCGTTGTTCCGGCGCCTGACTCCCCAGAACAAGCAAACATTGCCTCAAGCTGTGTCTGCGTTGAATGGGCTAGTGTGTAAGTGTGCCTGATGCAGCCCCAAGCTTTCTGCCGGCAGGGAAACACGCTCTCCCCGGACAGAAGCAATTATATAACAGTGGTAGATCATCGAATTCAGAACCCATAGCTGAATTCCTATGTTGATGCTCTTTTCCACCTTGCATTCCGCCAAACGTGTCAGGCATGTCCCGGCCAGCAGAAATGACTACAAAGAGGGGTGTCTTCTGATTCGACATATTGAATTCAATGACAGCAAGCAATGAAATCTAATGTGCATGTGGCATATTGCAAGACTGTCTGTGGAGCCGCGTGAATTCTGGTGTACTCGCCTGGTAGTCTCGCGGGTAGTGAGACCAGGTCCCCCCCAGGACGATGATCTCCACCTTGTCTACCGTGTGGCCTGGACGGATCGGCAGCCGCTGGTGCAGCTTTGCGCCCCTCTCAGGCGGCCTCTGGTTCAATTTGTGCTTCAAGGAAAACCGAGGCCCCTTCCTCAATGCTAGACAAAGCGCCCAACATAGATACAACATGGACACGTTTGACGGATCAGGAACTCTTTGCAGGGGTGTGGTCTATGTGGCCTACTCCGCGCCTTGCTTCGCCAGTGTCCCGGCACGGTCGTAGAACTGTCGCACCTGAGCATGCCTCCCTGACTGCAAAACATGGCAGTGATACAACTGGGAAAATTTGCGAATTCTTCACGCAAAGGGGCTAAGGTTCCCATTCTGCTACTCACAACCATGGCATAGGTGCTTGGTGCTCCAAACAATTGCCTGGTGCAAAAAGACCAAATCCTCGTAAAGCACATGCATTCGATGTGCACTCCTCCATGAAACCAGGCACTCAAATGATTCAATGGGTCGCACAAACCAGTCACGTTTAGTCTAAGTCCAAAACCCGAAAAGCCAGAAGACCCTGAAAAGGGAGTTAATGCCAAGGTCTTCATCAATCTGACATGGAGGGAAAGGATCATGTACCATAACTCTATGGCCAGGCACGGGGTCGAACTCGTTCTGATTGGCCCTGGCGACCGCAGGCTCAGTGCTCAGGTACGACCGAGGCTGACCTGGCTCCTGAGAAACAGTTCGGACGCAAGGGGCAAGGTTGTTGGCCCTGGACAAGGGAGACTAGAGCAAACCAAAGGAAACTAAAGGGAGTCAAAGAAAGCCAAAGAAAGCAAAGAACATCAGAGGAAACAAAAGACACAAAACCGATGCTCTCCCCTTGCTCCGTGAGAAAAGCAAAAACAAACGCGCCCAAAAGCCCTGTTCGGTTCTTGTGCTATCGCAGGTTTCGAGCAAGTCATCGGCGCCCAAAACGTGTAATTATGCCGACATACGTATTCAAACAGAATGCTTGGTCAACAGAAGTCGATTTGGCAGAGACATGGTTGCATCTCACGAATTGTCCCAGCAGGACAGTCTCTTCCCGTGTGGATAACTGGAGAGCTAACTGGAAACAGAATACTTTGAGCGTGGCTTAACTGAACTTACCCTTACACACATATGTGTGTATATACATATATATATATATATGTATATATATGCGAGACTATGTTGCATGAAATTGAGTTGAAGCTGCTTGCAAATGCAAATCCCAGCCCAAAATCACAGCATCTTAGCAAACAAGGTGGCCAGATGGGAAAACATCATGGTTGAATCATGATGCGGTCCTACCGATTTGGCAGGTCGAATGAAACCCATGACCAGGCATCACATTTCGAATATATCCACACACGCAATCTCTCTTGCAGCAAATTGGGTAGTCAGAACGCCACATGAATCCTTAGGCTCATGCTGGAAATTGGTCGGCTGCTTGCAATATGCGTTGAAGGCGACTCAATACAAGCTTCCCAGCGCTTGTGCTGATTGATCTGCAATGAATATCGCATGGCTGCTCCTGGCTTTTGTGAAAATGTATGTGACTTCCCAAACGTACTGTTGGCAGCGCAGTCTTGGCAGCTGATAGCGTCCAGCGTAAACCCCACACGCAAAATAATCTATATCTCATGACAAAAATTGCCCTGCGTGCCGATTCATCTTTGCGGGCGGGTCCTTTGCCAAGCTGAATCGTGAATCGGCAAATTCCAAGTATCACGTGGACGCAATTCCGAATGCCCTGATGTTCGAGCAAATTCCGGCACGCCGGCACGGACCCCGAGCCCTCGTGGCTTTGCGACTCCAAGATGCGTCAGGACAGTAGAAGCAGTCGTTGGGACAGGAAAACCGGCCAGGTGCGGTGACAACGGTAATCACCACCACGCCGCTGTTGGATCGCACGGATTTCCTTGCCCAAGCTCGTCCACTGGCGGACATGGAACCGGGTCATCCCCAAGAGTACTGTACTTTTTCCCTGGGAATCCCTTGGTATCACCAAAACGCTTCCGGCAAGTGTAGCTGAAGGACAAATAGCTTCTCGAAAATGTGAACTTCTAACATGGGCACCCTCTATTGACCCACTTTCAGAGTGGAATAGCCAAAGTCCACTTTTGTTGCTTTCCACTCATTGCTGAGGGTTTGCCCGAAGTGAAAGTACAAAGTTCATGAACCCACGTAAAGAGTCACATCCCAGAAGGCCCGTCAGGAAAGGAGCCCCTGATTTTCCTTATGGTTCGAAGGACTCGTATGCGTTTTGCCAGCCCCAGTGGCGGCACATTCGGTCACATTCGGCCATCATTCTTACAGGGTACTTGTACTCTCCGAGTCTCCAACCACACATGGAAGTGCACAACCCCCCTTAAGACAATATTTCGTTGGAAAAAGATGTGTGCACCCCACGTCCAGAAGCATACTAGAACTGTCGGCAACCGGCAAACTCGTGGCCAGGCTTCTTAGTGGTGATCTTCTCGAAGGAGGCGTTCCGGGGGATGCGTCCGCTCTCCCGCAAGCGGTAGTAGGCGCGCACAATCTGTGGCTTTGACAGAGTGGTTTTGAACTCCCGGCGAACCTGGGCATGCGCTGGAAGTCATCTTTTCAACCCGCGGAAACCGAAAGGGGAAGAGATGCCCTTGGGCGGCCCGGACATCTCAAACGTGGATCTCACCCTGTAACCAGATCCGCATGGCTGCAGATTGGTCTCAGAAGAAACGCTTATGCTGCCTTGCGTTGCTTGTTCTTCTCCGAATCAACTCAAAATGCTGGTAAACACCAGAGAAAGACATGCTTACAAGTCTACAGCACTGTGCTGTAAGAAGCACCAAATCACAACCCTCCAACAACTGTCAAGATGAAAGCCCTTATGTTTTGCTTCAAGTGAGCCTCTTTCAACAGATGCTCACGCCCCAAACTGGTGGGTCCGCCAGCTGCTGAAACACGGAAGCCATAGTGTGGTGCTTGAAAAAAAACTCCAAGCCTGATGACCACAGCAGCCCTGACAAGACCATCCAACAGCCGCCTTTCAGCTCACATCCCTCCATTTTGAGCGATTTTCAAGTATTGGGCGACTGAGGCCAGCACTGCCTGAATTCGTGTCTCATACTCCTTCTCATTCTTGAAGTCAGGACCGGTGAGCAGCGCCAGCACAAAGCTCTCGTAGCCTCGTGTCAAGAGTACCCTACCCTTTTGGGGCAGGTTTCATGCAAACCAAGGCAAGCTACAACCCTAATGCGGTGGATTCCTTCAAAGCAAAATCCTATGTAACATAGAGTGCAGAATGCAATTTGCACCGTCGACAAACTTCAACTTAGCTTGCTGTCGCTCGGGCCCTATAGCATTTCAGTTGCACGTTGTGCGCCACTCGTTTCAGCACAAGGATCCTTAACCAGGCGTGAGTCCTCGCGGGCTTCCGTTGCCTTATAACAGCTTGAGTAGTCGGCTGAACATCAAGCAAGCAGATCAATTCTCCTCACCGCTGCGAGTGGTGTCATAACCACTAGCAACCAACGGACCAATCGGCTGAATAAGCACCCCATCCCCAAAAACAACAACAACAATCAACCCAAAATCACCTCACCATGGCCCGATTCGCGATGCTTGAGGCCTAATGTTGTCTATGTCGTGATTTTCTGATTGCGCCTGCAAGACAACGGAACTTGACTCACAACCCTTCCCCCAAAGCCCTGCGCTTATGTGTACTACCCTGCCGGGCAAATTCAGCAGGCAGGGCTCCCTATAATATCCTCAAGCATCATCCCCAAAAACAAAGAATCAATGGTCTAAAAGTAGTGCTTGAACTGACGTTTCAAGGGAAAGCTACCCAGCCGTATTTGCTTGGTAGACAGCTTGAAGTCAGAAGGTGTAACATTGGCCCAACAGACCCCGAAGCCAAGCATTGTGTTCACCAAGATGCCCTCCAGCTCTTCTTCTGCGATGGGCTGCGCATGGTAGGACATCCACTCCTGCTCGAAGGAAACACATATATATATATATATAAGACACATATGTATGTATATATATATATATATATGTGTATTCTATATATATATATATATATGACGAACATTGAGTGCATCTTGTGAACTCATCCATCTATATAGCAATAAATACATATGGTGGGTGATTGCTTTAAACATCGCCCATCCTATTAGATCATTCCTGTGTTTGATGGCCCGCGCCAGCACCTTGTAGACAAACCAATGCATTAATTACTTCCATCCCCATCGTGTGCACAGAAGTCAGCGTTTGCCGCGGCGAACCGGGCGACTCGCCAAAAGTTTTTTTAACCCAGACACTTTAAATCCCTGCTTGATTAAGAGGTGAAGGTCCTAGTTTGGAGGGATCATTCACTATTGCGGGAAACACCCACCCCAAGCGTCGCTACAGCCTTCACATTTTGAAGCGGTGACCCAGGCTTGTTCCTGGATTTCAACAGCATGTTGACCAACAAATCACTCGCACCCGATGGCCCCAGGGATGAGGAGATTTACGGGGGGCCCAGTGGTGAATAAATTCCTGTTGAGTAGTCTCAAGTTCATTTGGCTTAACCCGTCAGCACCAAAATTACAGCTCCAAAAGAAGATGGCAAACATCTTGCCCCACTCAATTTTACTTCAGCTCATCCCGCCTCACAGCCCTGCTCAAAGGCGCGCAAGTGTTTCTCCGCCGCCTCTGAGCTAGTGATCACCTGGTCAGGGCAGGGTACCTCCGCAAAAAGGGAAACCAAAACCATCTGGAGGAAGGATTACGGATTGCTTTTGAGAAACCAAACAAACCGTCTAATCATGTGGGTTCTTTTCTCATACCTTCATTTAAAGCAGATCCCGTCGATCTGTCCAAGAATAAGGCATTGCGAGGAAGTCTTCTCTTCAATCAGGTCACTTCCACTGTGGCAGAAAATGTCGCACGCCTCCCACTGCAAAGTTTGCTTCAGATTTGGCTTCACGTTCCATGTACTTGACCAGTGTGTCATCTAGCTGGCCTGGAATTTGCAACCAAGCATCAAACACCGTGCTTTAGACTACTAGTGCGCAAAGTTTAGCAGCCTGTTAACAACGTGTGGCAGTCTTCTATGAACCCAAATTCGCCAAAGTGTCTCCTGGCCTTCCTATCTTTCGCCGTTCCTCTTGTCGCTTTTGCTCGATCTTTCTGCATTTACTTGACTTGCTCATACCTTCTTGACGGTTCGTCCGCTGGGTTGAGACGTTAGGCCGCCCAGGCCCTAATCGGATGTACATTCATGCCACAAGCGGCGGCAACTCTCCGCAAAACAGGGTTCAACTGTTGGCTGGAACAAGCAGCAGGAGTGAAAGGTTTGGGTTAGAGCCCTCCACTCAAGTGGGTGTCTGTGTGTGCGCGCGCAAGAAGGCTCGAAGCTCTGTGTTAGTGCTCGAGCTCAGTGCCCCGAAACTCCAGTCACAGAGCTAGATGCTCAAATCTGCTGTCTGTTCCACTCGGGCGGGCGCACAGAAGCACACTCGATTTGCAAACATTCTGCGCCAGCAAGCTGCCACTCCTCTGATCAAGCTTGTTTCGGTCAGTTTCTCAAAATCAGTCCGCAGCTCGCACAGGCCAGCGTTCAGTGTGAAGCCTCCTGCAGTAGCAATCCTTCTCGATAACTACCAGCCTGGGGCTTTAAGCCACGCCACTCTCAGCGCTTGCAAAAGCCCACCTTTGCCGGCAAAGGCATCAATCACCAAGATGCCATGACTTGCCGCTCGTTGAGATCAACCTGCTCCAATCAATCACTGCGCCCGGCTTCTCGCAGGATTGTCACGAGGATTCGCCAGTGCTAATGAACTTCTTCTGCTGCGGGTTTTCCCTCGACCTTGGCATCAAGCAGGTACAAGGATCAACAAAAGGTCAGGGAATATCTCCTCACCTCGCGCTGCGCAAGGAGACTGGCCCCTCCTGACAGAAAAGGGGAGCATGTTGAAGCACGCCTAACCTGTCACTCCATCTATGTTGATTCCCAAGCTCCGCCAACTCGCAGGGTTGGGACATTACATCATCTTTCCCAATCCAAGCGGGAGTGCCGATAGACAAGATTGTCACCAAGACCTCAGCTCTCATCCTCAAATCCTTTCCCTCGGGCAACACGATCTCAAGCGGGTGCGCCACTCAATGTTCTCACATCCCCAGCAACTACTCGACTGATTGCGCTTGGTGGCCCTGAAGCCCATGACAAGAGGAGGGTCGGATGCTACTCACAAACCCTTTCGTGGCAAAGCTCTGCAGCAGTTTTGTTTATTTCTGTTTGATTCGGCTGGCTGTGGCAGGCCCCTGGTAGCTCCTGCCAGTTTCTCCTCTGCCAGCCCCCCGCCCAGGATTCTCAAGTAGTTCTCGCACGTCTCCATCACGTAATTCGGCTACGCACTGTGGGTAGGATCTGTTAAGGTCAGCTTGCGCGCCTTCTCCACAATCTCGCCTGATACGAATTACGTATTGCATCCCATTCGCCCATCAAGGGTGACTGGGCACCTTTCCCACAGTTGATCCAAGGCCTTTTGCTCAGAAATTGTCACCGCACCACGTTGCAGCCGAGCTCGGCTGCCACATTCGGCCCACAGATCGCCAATTGAGCCGCGCCATATCAGTTCTCGTCGCTTTGGCCAATCAGCCTATGAGGCTCGACGGCAACTGCGTTTAGAAGTCGAACTTGTTGATTTTGGCCTGGACTCCCGAGGGGTTCCCAGGCCCACGGAGGCAGGCAGGCTCCCCTGCGCTCTTAGCGCAAAATGTGGTGTCCCTGTGCTTTCGGAAGCACCAGGGAACACCATCCGCAAGCCCAACATTTGCGGTGGGGGTTTGGTGCGAGCCCTTGGGCAAGTGCGGGTAAAAGCAAACAGTCGAAACCCAGGGATTAGGTGAAGCAATGCAAGGGAGGGATGAAAAAGGACCCAATCACCACAAAGTAACAAATGGCAACGACTACTCAAAATGCTCAAAAAACAAATCCAGACTTTATCAGCCAAAGTGGCAACTGGAATCTAAGAACCCAGGACCATTCCTTTTGAGCATACCCCAAAAATACGTGTTTTAGCATATTTTGGGCTATTTTGGGCATGTTTGAGAATGATGCTCGCAAGGTACGGTGCAAAGCTATTAATTCGATTAGGGACAGCCAAGGGCGCAGCGAGGGTTTAACTTGCTCTGATGGACTCTGCAAACAGGCCTGGGATTAAAGCTGCTACGTTAATTTTCGGTGATGATGAGAACTCATTTCGGCTTCCGAACAAGGGTAAGCACGGGGTTAGTTTAAGCCCCAGGGGACGCCCAAAGGGTAGCCATGTCCTCAATTCTCCAATCCTGGGAACAGGAGTTGGGGGCGGTTTGGGAGTCTTTTCTCCCGGAAACATTAACAATATACCCCGAACCTTACCAATTTGGGGTATGCTCAAATCAGGGCACAATCCCCACGGCATACGCAGCCTGACTTGAGCATACCCCAACCCCACCATTCCACCAAAACACACATTCCGGACCCTGAAGCTGGAGACCTAGTGAAGGGGGGAGGCCGACCGCAGTGCCATGCCATAGTTTCCCACAACAAGTGCTTTTTCGGTGGGACAGGTCCCAGGATTGGTTGGAACAGCTTTCACTGCAGTTTACAAAAGCTGATCCGGGTTTCCATCATGTGCAGAACCATGCTGGCCACAGCAAGGGATCAAATCAGGCGCAGAATTGGTCAACAGTTCTTTGAAAGCTCTCACCTTTTTCACTTTGCGTTGACCCTTCACCGGCCACAGAAAGTGCATAGCAAAAACATGCGTGATGCAAATTGGGGTTGCTAAAACCTTGAAAACTGTGCCAAAACTGGTCGGGGTATGGTCAAAGGTATGGTGTAGAGTTCTTAGATGGAAAGACCTGTCAAGAGATATGGGTATGTGTCAACATATGGAGCCCCACAAAATGCTGCTGGCTCCCCCTGCAATTACCCCGAACAAACATAAACCCATAGGTGGTTCTTGTCTCGCATCTGGCCTCGTTGGACGGCACCATGTACATCTTGCCCAGGCGGGCAGTCAGGTAGTCATCCGTCATCCCGTCCATGGCCATCGATGTCGCCGAAAAATCAGATCTGATTCTCCCCCTTGCAAAGCCCTGGAATTAGAAGTCCGGCTTGCGTCTGGGCGTTGACTTTGTTTCTCAAAGTTGCTTCTTGGGCCAGCCAAGCTTGCGAGGGTCCCACAGCCTACAAACATCGCCCAGTGTCCACATGTATCTGACAAGATGTACAAGACTAAAAAACTTAGACTGTCGGACCACTCCATGTAGCAAATCGCAGAGAAAAGCACAACAAACACATGCCTATGTCTGCAAGCCTTGTCATACTGGCAATGCTGCGAGTCGAAGCTGGCAAACATGATGCGCGAACGACAGCAGAGCGTTGTTTGACCCGCAAAGACTCTCTGCCAATTCGCGCTCAATTATCAAGCAGTCAAAGGTATCGACGCTGAACTTGCGACTTGTGGACGCGGTCATGCACTGAAGACGATCACAGCAGGACTCAACATGGTATGTGTCAAACACGGGATGCCCAAAATGTGGCGTTGGTGTCCCTAACCAACCCCAAAGTGGGCACCCGCAAAAAACACACCCTCACATGGGAAGGCGACTTCTCTCTGGGCTCTAGCCCACTCAGACCCTATCGCAAGAGTAAAATGTCGGTCTGGAAAACACAGGACTTAGCCCCGTTCTATGTGGTGTGCTCATTGTTTTGAGGTTCTGAGCAACCCTGCCAGAGTTTGCACTCCAAACAGAAGCCCTGCAAGCAAAGCAAAATGATGGGCAAGGGGTGGGCGCTTCTTGGAAGGATTATGTGAAAATTCGTGTGGTAGCGTTTTGACCAAAGCAGGTACATCATGCAATGCCAAAAACATAGTCCAGGCAAGACAAACCTGATCTTGAAAAACGTGTAATAGACTTTTCTCAGATGTGTGCGGTGCACGTTGAGCATAACAGCATAACCGAAGCAAACTGATGCCGAGCAAAGGCCCGCAGGAGTGCAACGAGTGCAACCTCCATGGCTCCGCGCCAGTTGGGCATTCTTCTCCTTGAGGCTGCCGAGCTCAGCGCTGGCCTCATGTCCATCCGAATGGGCAACCGGCTGGAGGGTTAGCGCATTTTGGGCAACTGGCATGGGAGCTTGGTGCGGCAAGTCACCATTCGGTGGTACCCCGTGCTCGCCTCTTTGCAGCAGTGAATGAAGCAAAAAAACAAAGTGACTCAAGAACAAAACCTAACAACATGCACAATTGCTTGACCTGCGGAGCACACGTCACACACACACATATACGCCTCTACACTGCTCAACAAACTCTGAAGACTGCTCCCATGGTGGAAGCATATTGCGTAGCGTCCAAGTGCTTGAAGCACACGTATACATGCTGAAATCGAAAACGCTTTACCCCTGAAATCACGGTTGTGTGACCAGCAAGTTTGCTCTAAATTTGGTGGCCTTTTGGTTTCCTTTTGGAGTCCCTTTCCACACTTACTTATTTTTGAGGCAGAATCCAACTTGAGCCCCGGACCAAACAATTGGTTTCCCCAAGAGGGCCTGGGAAAATTGCGGTCCGTTCCCCTGGCTCTTGTGGGAAGAAATCGCCCTCCCCAAGCATCGACCGCTGTCGGTGCTATGGTTGCATCTTCCTTTGGATTGTGTTGGGAGGCGTTTCTCAGTTCCCCATCCCTTTCACTTCAGTCACAATCAAAACCCAGCATAAAAATGGTTGACCCAGAATGTAGGGAAATACAAAGGCGGCGGCTGTTTCTGGCTGGGATTGTCCCTTACAAACCTTCATCTACCCGGGGTTTGAGCGCGTGGCTCACTTGCCCCCCGTTCCCCCGCGCCTTGGAGAGCTGTGCTTGCACGGTACGACTCTCCTCCTTCAGGCGCAGCACCTGCAGTCAGCGCCTTTTCAAGGGCACTTCCGGGTGTTTGGAGCCTTGGATGCTTCTATGGCTGCGTCAAAAATAGGTACCCAAAATGGAACCCTCGTAAATGGAAACATGGACTAAAACCTGCCGTCCCCTAGTGGTTTGACTTTGACCCACACCCATATACCGCCTGTAACGCTTTATATACCCCCCTCTAGTGAAATATATTACCCGAAAACATATGCCTGTAGGTAACCAGGGTTTAGGTTACCTACGGTGTCTGAGATCCTCTGGGCCGTGATTCAAAGCACTTGATTCGGAAAACTCCTGGCCCCACCTCGAATTTCCTTGATTGAAATTGCAAGCAATCATGGGTGCTTCCAACATAGGAACTGAATCCTCTTCAAATGACGGCGTTTCAGTTCCGTTTGCGTTTCATTTGGAGAAAATGGTCTAACCTTTCGGCCTGGATCGTGGCATCATGCGGTCCGTTGTACCAAAAGGGGACCGACTCTTGGATGCTGTTCCAAGGGGTGCACCCGCCCCTATGTTTGCAAGTAACTTCGCAATTGGCCACTCTTTGCTTGTCTGTGGGCTACGAGCTTCTTGCTGTCATCCCACCCCTTATGTCCATGGCGTGAACAGCCAGTTTGAGGTTGTGCTCTTGTACGGAGCACTCGTGCCGTCTCATGCAGGGCTCCAACCACATTCGGAAAGCGGAACTCACTTTCAAAGAGCCTCTCCAAACAGCAAAGCTGGGCTCAGGCAACATTCACCCGGGTGTACCCTTGGGTGAAAGTACACATTCGTTTGGTCATCCCATGCGCCTATTTACCCACGCAAAAAAAAATATATGTGCCATCTACTTTCACCAAAGTACACTATGCTTCATTCCCACATAAATATACTGACCTGAATATCATACTTGTCAGTCACCACCCAACAGATCCGCAATACCTTGCACATATGAGCAATGCCATCACGTTTGAGATTGCTTGGATTCAACAGCTTGTGTGAGAGAGGGGGACATCTGATCAACTCGAAGCACTCTATGAAGCTTTAACACAAACATGACCTCGACCAGTTCCTGCTCTGTTCAAGTCTGGAGGAGCTGTTCAACCCGTTGCCTACTCAAGTAAAATGCGACATGTTGGACTTCAACACCTGCACAGGACCCGGCCTTCAGTGCATTCTGGCATTCTGGTATTCTGGTCAAATCTGGAACATGCTGTCGGGACTCCGGACATCTCGAAAATTTGGACAAACCAAAACTGAACCCAGAAGCATGGTGCTGAAAGCGCTGCTCGGAAAGCAGTAACATTCCCACATTCCCAACAATGGACGTTGACTAGAAGGGGAATGGGCGTTGAACCCTGGGTCGGGTTGGGCAGGGTTCCAATTGGATTCTTTGGAGGGCCGCGGCGAATTACTGCTGTAGCTTCTGCCGAAGTTCTCCCTCGCGTGGTGTGGCTTTCTTTCTGTTGGCGATGGCATGCCGATGCGCTTTGGAAAAGTGAGCTGCTCCACAAAACTGGCCGAGGCACCTTAGGTGGCTCCAGCCAGCCGAACAGATGAGACTCTGGAGCATCTGTGGCTCCATGCAGGCGAAATTCCAAATCGAGTTACCGCGTGAAAATGAGCTGCCAAGCACCGCAGCCAAAAGGCTCTTTGGGGAACCCAAATGGGCCATTGCCTCTATCTTGTCGGGTTCAGTCCCCAGCGCCGCGAATTTTATTTCCACCTGAAATCCAGCACAACGTCAACAATTTTTAACCACAAGGGGGGCTTGACTCAACACCTATACAAACCGTTGCATCAAACATAGCTAGTGTCCAGGAGTCTGGCAAGAAATTGCCTGCCAACGTTGCGCAATTACCAGCGCAGATCAGCACAGCTGATTCAGTCAGAGCCTGATCCGCTACCGTCGCTACCCTCATCCGTCGCCCCTGAAAGGGAGGCAAGCACCGAGCTCCCATTGTCCTTGGTCTTCTTCTTTTTCGATCTGCCTTTCCCCATCTTTTTCACAGAGCTTACAATGAGCTTCTCCAGCCGGTCGAACCTGCCAGGGAAGATCCGAGTGTGCAACATGCCAAGCAAGCCATCCGGCGCCCACTCAAGTTGCCAGGAGTCGTAGCAGCAAGTGCAACAAAAACCAGCACTCAGTCAAGCCGAGGGGACATTCAACCAAACAACCCTCTGAATGTCTAAACACACCGTGCCAGCGTGTTGTGCACGGTTGACTTCAGCTGTTCAGCAAACCAGTGTGGGAGCCTCATGCCTGAATGCTCACATTCCCCTTGAAAAGAACGATGGTTGAAAGAATCAAACAACACCACCGCGACACACGAACACATTGCAAGGATCCCTTCGACATCCCGGGCTGAAGAAACCACGAAGCAGCCAAATCCCAGTCTGCGAGAAACCTCACGCGCTGATTGGGCATGGCCCCAATCCTAACCTTGTCCTCCGTGGCTTGTTGATACCTTGGGTTTTGGGTGCTACCCCGTTAGGTAACCCTGTAGTTGGGATCGGGGACTTGAAGACCCAGTTCTTCTAGAGGGTTGCCAGGCAACCTCCAAGCCACGAATCAGGGAATTTGATCCGCTTTGGGAACTTCAGCAGACCTCAAATATCTCTGTACATTTCGAACCAGGGTTTGCCTTTCGACCCCGGACCTAAATTACGTGGGGTACACCTTCCCAACACAGCGGCCATGGGAAAAACGGGCATCTTTTGTTGTTGCTTCATGTTTGTTTATTATATCTTATGCTCATTGTTTTTGGTTTTGTTGTTTTCCCCATAGCTGAAAGCTTTAGGGTCTCAGCCCAGATAGGCTCTGGGTTGGTTTGGGGCGGTCCTGAGGTGAGGTTCCACGAGGGTTCCACCAGGGTTTCAGCAGGGTTCCACCAGCGTTGCGCCAATTTGTGCGAGGGGGTGGTCCGGGGTGGTTTGAGGTAAGGTTCCACGAGGGTTTCACCAGGGCTTTACCAGGGTTCCACCAGGTTCTGCGAGGGCTGCGGGTGTTTTGAGGTAAGGTTTTATGATATTTCCACCAGGATTCCACGAGGTTCTGCGAAGGCTGCGGGATGGTCCGGACCGGCCCTGAGGTAAGGTTCCACAGGGTTGCGCAGAGTTCCACAAGGATTTCACACGGGTTCCACAAGGTTCCATTCCACAAATTTCGTGGTTTGCCCTGGAGGGAAGCAATGTGTTGTGCGCCCGGGGCCCGACTCAGTCGGGCCCCGTCAACTGTACCAAGCTGGCATGCCTAGTTTTGCTAGACACAGTTGTAAGCCCGCGCCTTAAGGAAAACCGGCGTTGAGCCAAAATATGGGTGGCTGCGGTTCGTGGGAGCCCGCTTGCACCACGGGACCATCGGGCCCGATTGCACCGTCCCGCCCCGCTCGGGCCCCGATGGCCCCATCGGGCCCCGATCAGGGCGCCATTGCGCTGTCACTCTTAGCTTTGCTTTCTAAAGTTACAAGGCGGCATCCTCAGCAAAACCGGCGGTGAGGTGGGTCCCGGGGTAGGTTCCGCAAGGATTTTGGGAGGGTGTGGTGCTGTTGGGGATATCGCCTGAGCTTTTTTTTTTTAGGGGGGGGTAGTAACTTCAAGGCAACCCAATCCAAAAAGACAAGGGCACCGGGATGCAGATGTGTTCCCCAAACTTAGAGGCTAGGCAAAGCCTTGCAGTCTGCCTGAGCGGTGAACATGACTTGCTTCCTCATGACATGGGATTCCTTGCGACTCCCCTGGGTTGAAATTTAGAGCTCGTTCCCCATGTCTCCCTCCCCAGTGAACCATAGGCACATTAGGATGTTCACCGGAATTTGTAACAGGGATGGACTTTACTTAAACTAAGGCAAAACCAGTTTACTCGAACGAAATTCAGGCATCTGCAAATTCTCCAATAATTCTAAGCCTCAAAGAACGACTCCCCAGCAAAGGACCTACATCATGCTGAGACTGTTTCGCCCCCAGCTCGCGGCAAGAAAGTCCGGAGGCCTCATCAAATCCAAGGCAACCACTCCAACGTTGGAGCGCATCTGACACAGAACATCATATGCTCAGCTTCACTTTCTTGGGGGGGTGGGGCTCAAAACATATTTTCAGCAACAGTCATTTGGCTTACGCAAACATACAAATTCGTTGCGGAGAATCTAGGTGGGGTTGTCTTTTTTCCGTTTGGGCGGGGGGTTCCCAACAAAAACAAACCGTTGTTGCTTGTGTTTGTGTTCTTTCTTGCTTCCTTCTTTTTCTCTGGGGGGGTCCCCTCTTTGGGCCCTTGACTACGAAAACCATGTATGATTAAAAACAAAAGGAAGAACAAAAACACGTTTTGGAGACCCCCCCCCCCCCAAACCGTTTTCCGGTTTTCTGTTGCGCCTGTCTTCCATGGAGTCCTCCTCATCCGGCCATGGCATGGTGGGCGCAGAGGATCCCCCGAAGCGCCGGATGGAGTCCACCGTGACGATGTGCGCCGCCGCCGGCTCCACGATCTGCACGCCGCCTGCTAGGCCTACGTCCCCCTCGTTGAACTCCAAACGCTCCTCGAAGTTCATGCCTCCAGCGCAGAATCCGTATAGATATATCCCTGCATATCATGATGTGACTATTCAAATGCGAGTATACACGTGTATGCATATGTGTATATATATATATATATATTCGGTGGGCCTTTTGGCAATTTTCTTTGGGCTTGCCTGAACAGACAATCAACAACATAGGGTGTCTGATGTTTCTTGGAACGCCACTGACCTTCATACTTGCAACCTGAAACACCTGCCAAATTCTGGTGGGTAAAACCCGACAGGCGAACACCTCAGGGGGTCAAACAGGTTGCCACCAGAATTGGATGGATCCGGGGTTTCGTCCCAAAGATCCGGGCAAGTTATGATCCCAAAGGAAATGAGGTTGAGGTTCGGACCAACCCAACTGAATTCCTTTGACTAATTCATAATCCGCCCCATGTTTGCAGCCACGGCCAGCCAAGACTACTTTAAAAGGCACCCACAAGTTTTTTCCAAATTCATCCTTTCTTGTCATGTTTGCTGAACCCAGAAGCCCCGCAATCTGGCTCCCGAAGTCAAGCAGCAACTGAGAGAAGCTATATCACTAAAGCTGCTGTCAACACTTATCCAATAGAAAATCCTTTCATAGTCTTGAACAACCGAACCAGGTCTTACATTGTGTTTAAACAAACCACGTTTGGCTCACAAAGGGTCCCCTCCTTGCAAGGCCAGAAACAAAATCAAAGCCCCCGATGTCTTATTGGCCAGACAGGGCTGGAGAAGAAACAACTTGAGGAACTTCAAGGAAACCCTCTACGAAACGGAGAAACCGGTTGGTTTATGTTCACTTCGGATTGATCCGGAGAACTGGGTGGTTTCCCTGTTCGGAACTGATCTACTTTTGGGGTTTCTCTGACTAGGGCCCTCCGGACTAATCCGAAGCTATCACAGGGCCTGGGAACGACTGAAGCTCTTTGCGAAAGATCTTCAGGCCTCGCAGGAACCGGCCCCAGCGCTTGTTGGAGATACCCTCGAGAGTGGCAACCTCAACGCGAGCGGGCTAGGACGCGAGGGTCCCGGTGCTCCCATTAAGCATAGGTAGCCATGTGGTTTGTATCTCAGGGTTTTACTTGATGGTTCCTTGGGTACTTGCTATATTGGTAGCTGGAGGCACTGGACACAAACAAAGATCGGCATCAGTGGCTGGTGGCTCAGTCGGGCTGGATGAAACCCGATTGATCCACTGTATGCGCTTCTTCCCTTTCGTTCCCCGCAAATAAGTCCAAACGGGTACCCTCAACAAAAGACGTAACATGGATTCGGATGAGGTCAAATACGGATCCCATTGGTGCACAGTCAAAGATAAGGGAAAGCGTGGCAAAGGCCCCATAGGCCCATTACGATAGCAGCTAGCCCACTGCTTCCAGCTTCCAATAAAGGAGGCAACCAGGGAAACCATCATCCGTCATATGATGAAACCAAAAGGTACAAATACCTGGTCTCATACTATAGTGGTTTCTGCCAGCACTGGGCAGGTGATGCGCTTGTCAATAAACCTAGTTTGCTACCATGCAGTTGAGGCAAAGGACGAGGAATTCGCCAGGTCCCCGTGCGGTTTTTGTGGATACTTAGTCAATGCCCCCACCATGTCCCTTCAATCAATCAACCAACTACCAGATTGCATCTAATCAGTCAGCCATGAACCAACCAACTTAAAACCACCAATCCACCAACCAACCGACGACCAACCGACGACCGACCGACAATTCAACAAACCAAACCAACCGAACAAACCCAACCCGTCAATCAAAAACAAATACGAGCAATCAGCCATGAAGCGGCCAACCAACCAAAGCAGCCGCCAAACAGTCAAACCAACCCACCAAACCAACCAGTCAGTCCATCAAAAATCAAGCAAACAATCTAAACCATTCTTCATTCAAGTCATTTTCGTATGTGCCAGAAGGATACCTGGGAGGCCGGACAATCACAGAGGCGCGGTTCAGCCGCGCATAGCCCTGCATGTCCGTGTAGACATGCTGATAGGCTTGATTGAGCTGCGCCACCAAGAGGTTTACCAGGATGATGGACACGATAAGCATGAAAATGATGACGACTATCCTCACCGCATCCCAACGAGTGGAAACATGCGAACCATGCTGTGTTTGAACTCAGCTGTCTCAGCTGATAGCCGCAGTCGTGGCATGTTCAGCCAAGAAGTCTTGGTGCTAGGCATTCGACAGGACTTCGGCTCAGCCAGACAAAACATTCATATCAGCACAAAATGACGTCCAGCTAAGCGGCAGCACGTTTGATTCGCTGTTCAGAGAACGGTAGTAGTCCGGATGGAACATACCCAAAGACATCTCCGTCAGGGAGAGAAGCCACTCGTCCATGCTCGCCATCTCTACAAAATCCTGAGTAAGTCAAAGCTGAAAAACGCTTGCTGCACGCGGAAAACACATTTGAGCTATGCCCTTGGCGCTGTCCGGTTCTCCCAGAGTCTCTGGGAAGGACGCTGGCGGCGTATGGAATGTCGGATGTCGCAAATGCAACAGCCCCAATCTGAGCGCACGGGACAAATACCAGCAAACACGCAAAGCTGCAACAAGATCCTCCAATTGCTCCGCGTATTTCATGAGTAAGCAGCATGGAGTGCACATGGCCACTGAAAAACTGTCTGCCCCAAATGGATTCTGGTACACCTGCTTGGAAACCCATTGGCTCCCATTCACACACGCAGTTGGAGAGACAATCGAGATATGAGGTAACACACGATTATGCCTTTGTGGCTTCCTCAAGCTTCATCTGTTTCATTGAACTACGCACCCGTCGATGCTTTAACCCTAGTGATAAATGCTACCTACCTTTGCTGTATGATGAAGCCGTGGCACAATGTGTAAGTATGATTGTCTCTAACCGTAGCCAAACATGCTTGTACATAATGGTGTTGTTGTTTCAGTGCAGTTCCAAACTCGACAATGATGACTCCAACATCACCATACTTGAACATGCTGCCAACTGATCGAATTACCGTGTCTGTTTCATTCGTGTACATATGATGCATATATGACTCGATATCCGGTTCACGTGCGGCGGCGGGCTTTCTCACTATTCGTATCACTATCGACATGAACTCAATGTCGTTCTCCAACATTAGTTATCGGTACAATCATGGCTATTGATCCAACGATAAGATATCCAACGATTGTTCTTGGCTATTACTTGTTGTATAATATCATCATCCACTTTAATGGGGCCGTGCTCTGTATGTACGACACACTGATGCAGTGGAATCTCTGGACTTGTCGGTCAATGTAATAAACTCAACCCCCGTCTGTGTGCAGCCTCTATTTGCAGCATCTAACCGAACTGCATAATTCAAACCATGGTAATGTATCATATCATGATTTGCCCAGGTCAATGTAAACTATTCATCGTATGTTCACATGTGCTTGGACATTATCTTACGACATCTCTGGCAATGTCTATGTTCTTACAGCGGCTTTTAGCCTCTAAACAAGACCGCCGACAACAAGGTCATTACTCACATGAATATTACTACTTCTTCACAGGCTGGGACGAAGAACATCATTGCATCCAAAACAAAAAGCGACGCCCTCCCAGAACAAAGGGGCCCTGCACAAACAGCAACTCCTCCAAAAGTCGGGGCCGGAATAAAGTCTGAACATTTTACCTCCCCAAAACTGGCTCTCCCACGTCAAAAAACAAGCTACCAGTAAGCTCTCTGGCTGTAAGGGCCCAACTCATCAGAATGGGATTGCGGGGCACTTTAAACCCAGATTCTGTCATAGGAGTCAAGTCTTAGCAATCAGTCCGCTCCTCACGTTGTTTGGAAGCCTTTTTGGGGCTTGCTTCAAAATACTGACCCTCTTGCGGATGGATCTCGAAAGCCTCAAGACACCTTCTCCACTTCCTTGGTCTCCAAAACCAAACGGGTGAGTCTCTTTTCCGTACTTGTGGTGTGGTGTTAAAGGCACCAAAAGGGAAAACTCTAAGGCTTTGGGGTCCCAAAAACGGTTTTAAGGGGAAACCAAAAGGAAAACTCTCGTGTTTTGGGGTCCCCAAGAAAAAGCGAACCACCCAAATCGACCCAGCCACGTGCTCCAGGGCCATGATGGAAGTAGCGAAGGCCACCACCACGAAGGCAAGGGCCATCACGAAAAGCGCCACCTCCGACAAGACCCGGCCGAAGACCAAGACGTACCTCGGGGGCCGTTCTCTCGTCTTCCGTCCCTCCGCGAAAAAGGGCACCTATGAGGCTGCGCCTAGAAAATGTTGGTTTCCTTTTGAAGGGGCCCAATGTCAGGTGCTATGTTGGTGGGAGGAAGGGCAGATCCAGTCATGTATTCTAAAAGGAACATCAAGTCATGTCATAACACGGCTCCAGTAGCGTGAAATAAACATGTCAGTACACAGTTCCAGATTCATAACATTGTCCATATCGATATTAGTTTCATTGACTCATATTGATGATTAAACCATCGTTCATATTCTCGTTGAATACAATACCGAGATTTGCATCTTGCTACCAGCTTGAGAAGGCCAGGAAGGGTAGACCATTGAACCCAGGTCCGAACCACAGAATCCCAGTTTCTGCCTGTGACATGTTCCGCAACACAGAACCTCATGTATGACTTCAACTGGAAAGAACCTGTGCCATGAAAATCAACTTGTGTGCTTTTGTCCAGATTCCTTCCTTCAAACGATTCTCCATTGTCCCGCAAATGTGGGGCCAAACTACTTGGCTCTGTCTTGCCCCCTGAAATCAACGCAAGAGACACCAACCGAAAACCAAAAATAGCAAGAAACAACAGAAACGGCTGCCAACCGAGAGACAAAGGAGAAGCATCGTCAACAGGGGTAAAAGAGGTACCGGCCGGCAGAGACAGAAACCACTAAAATGACTAAAAACTCTGCCACTGTCACCGCGGTGCGCAGAAATGTGCATCGAGAAAATGGAGAAGTCCAGCAGCAGTGCCCAGTACAAGAGGATCGCAACGCAGGAGAAACCGGTGTACCGGCGCTTGCCTGAGCCAACACCATTGCGGGAAACAAAAACTTCTGTGATACCCAAGTGGGACTTCAATCCCTACAACTTGGTGACTTGCAAAGCGGGCTGGGAGTCACAGAAAGTGGCCAAGCAGCCCAAACTCTCCATAATGGTCTGTCTTCACATGTCGAGAGTCGAAAATGCTTAATTACCCCTTTCCTCAGTGCTCATTTGGGGAAACCAAGATTCTCCCACTGCAAGCTCAAAAGAGATCACAGTCTCAGTGATCTCAAAGTCGCAGCATCCCATCCATCGCAAAAGCCTTGAAACACAATCAGGAGAAACAGCTCGTGAAAATTCGTGAAACATGTGGCAACACAGTGAACAACATATCGAACTGTTGAGGCGAACAGTTTGAACGGGAGACGCAATACGCGTCCACCGAAAGGCAAAAAACGCTGACGCAGGGAGGGGGGGGTTCCTCATGAAACCAGCCACAGCCAGCTGCTATTAATTCCAAACAATTCCATTTTCCGGTCTGCTTGGTTGGCACGAAGCATGCAAAAATCGGAGGAACAAATGGTGTTGGCTGAATGGGAACTCTGCTCAGTGCCAAGGTGTTTAGTGGATGGGGGGTTGGTGCAGTTTTGCGCTAATCGCCGCACCAGTTCCAGGGAGCTAGATTTGCTTCCAAAAGCGGATAACTTTTGTGTGAGCTGACAAGCGCAACCAGCGGATGTGCAATGTGCTTGATTCATGTCAGGAATCTGCAAGGCCTGTCCAAGCCCCAGGGAAAATTAAGAATATGGCCAGTAGTGACAGATTCCCTTTCAATCTAACAGGGGACAGCCGACTCCACAAAGTGAGATGCTAAGCTGGTGCTTAAAATAGGTGTGGCTCAAAAGGACTACAGGTTCTGGTACACTTTTCCGTTTACCAGAGTTCCACTTTGGGCCTGCAGAAGCATCTAATCTAGGCGGACAAGCACATTAGGAGACACGAGACACGGACACAAACATCGAAACAGGCAGACCAAAAACACATGCAATGGTCTTCGAACGGGCTGCTTCCATTCTCCTCAACCGTCTCGCAGTGCGTGCTGAAGATCAAAGCTGTCTCTGTCGTAGACCACACTCCGCAGTGCCACAGTGGCTCTTCTATGCACATGCACACGAGGATCCAAAGCAGCAGAAAGTTACCAGCCTCTTTGAGAGAGAACAAATATTGAGGTATCGGGATGTAAAATGAACGATCAATGTCACCGTTCCGGCAGTCCGCTTGAAAGCACCGAATCTGGCCGTACAAGATCTTGCCCATGCTCCCCAGGTACAAGAAGATGCGGCAAACAAATACGACGGTGTTGGACTCCAAGGTTTCCGGAGTCTTGGAGGCCTTTGAATATGAGAGAAATGACTGGCTTGTGACGGCCACACAGAGTGTAAACAAAAAGTAGCAGCGGCCCAGAAGAAAGTGGTAAGCTGCAAGCCGGGTCCATATCAAGTCTGCCACGAGAACAATGGTAAACTGGCTGATGATGACTGGATTGCCATATTCCACCAGCCACTGCAGAGCTTGATGTGGGTTACCGTCGACATCTTGCATGAGATGTTTGCCTTGGCTCAAAATGATAAGTTTCGTCGAGGGCAATGTTCAATCTTTCATTCCGAGGGCATTGCCTGTCCAAAAGCAACCTCACTCCAGAAAATATTGGCATGCTCTCCGAGCAAAACACATCGATGCACACAGCATTTCCAGAAAACTTCGCCCGAGCTTGCCAGCCCTGATAGCCTTCCGGAAGCTTGTCACTTGCAACGCTTCAGTGAACCCGTTTGGGGAACATGATCATTGCCCCGAGATCTCCGAACCTCGTGACTTACACTCGACTTGCACGTTAACTTCTTCCAAGATGGCTGCGGCTTAAGTAGGTCTCACTACAATCTCTGCGCCGGAGAACAGAATCCACCAAGTTGGCCAAGAGTCAACAACATGTCTAAAATACGGCGCGTGTCAATGTGTGGCTCAGCCGCCCAGTTCTGTGCACCGTCCAAATACTTTCAAAAAACGAAAGGAAGAGAAACTGCGCTGTTGGTGCACGGCCCATTCCGCGTTTGACAAGCGCGTTTGTGCCTTCGGCAATACATTGCATGGGCTTGTTCAGAAAAACAGATGCTGTGCTTTTCTGTACCATCTGGTCATCATATACAGCCGACCAACTCAACCACAGGGCCGTGTGTGCCTCTACGTATGCAAGCTTGCCGATAGTATCCTATGTTCGCTAACAGAACTGCAACCTCGTCGCTCCCCCATCGTCCACAATAGGCTCCCCCATTTCCCTTGAAATGCCCTGGAAGCTATCCCGATTCTTGAGAAAGCCACAAAGAGAAGTTAAACTGTGCGCAGTACAATGAAGCCTGAACCCTTACTGTCTGCGAGTGGTCCATGTGTCAGGCCACAAGCCGAATGTAGCATCTTGGAAGACAGTGACTAACTCGAGAAACACCCTTTGCACAGCCACCACCTGAACAAAAGGTCACCCGGTGGGTGAATGATTGTTGTTGGTGTTTGCACGGAAAATGAACGGGCAGGTGCACGAAGCCCTCAGCACATAAGAGTTTCAGGATTACTTGTTTCAGATGCATGTGTGGTGTTGATTCCCCCTTTTTCAGAGTGTTGCTTGTGCTCACAGCGCCATTGGCGACCGTGAGCTATCATGCGCGGTTGTGCTCGTTGGGTGGGGTTGGGCTGGTTCACTCTCGACTTTGAGGCGGGGAGCAGTAGCAGTTCACTCGCCTTGTGCCATTGGAGATCACCCTTGACCTCCAGACAAGTCCCTCCAGGAGCGTCTCGAGCAAGGAAGGAGCACCTCACTTGCACAAAGGCGACCCGAAGGCCCGAATGCGACGGAGGGATCCCGAAAACCGGACGCCGATCTATTCGCTAAGGAGTCGCTTTGTCCAACTCTTCCACATCCCAGGCCTGCCAGTTTTCGAGGTTTGTTTGAGGGAAGCCCTTGCCTGATCACGAGTCGGGTGCGGTGCGGCTGCGGTTTCGCTTGTGGCATGTCGAGGCACTGGAAGACAACTTCTTGATCACCTCTGGATGCCTGGTGAACAAAGCATCTGCGCCGTAGTAATAGTTGTCTCGGTCCTCGAGGGATAAACGGTCTATTTCTCCAAAAATGGCAGTCACTGCTAATGGGAAGCTGACCCCTTGGCTCCCTTCGGAGCAAGGGGGCCATTAACACGGGCCTATTGAATTTGGGGAAATCTCATGGAGGTACAACACCCAGCTGCTGAACATTAGACATCAGCATGGAGGTTTCAAAAACCAAAAAGCGGATTGTGCTCCTAGCATCTCCTAGGTCCTAGCATTTTCCATCATTTTCCCAAAGTGGACCCTCAAACAATTGTTCCGGATTGAATTTGTTCGACCCCAGGTCCGCGCGGATGGTGAGCAGATCTTCGATCATCGCTTGCGCGCAGACAAGGCTGCCAGACTCAATGGCCCAGTAGAGGGGTGAGATGGACTGTGTGCCTGAGCCAGGCTCGTTTCACCCGGGTGAGCACGTCAGAGGTTGCCGCTTGCGAGGTTGCCTCTTGTGAAGTTCCCGACCCATTATATAAACCAAAAGGAAAATAACGGTTGACTCCACTCCCCCGCCCCAAGTATGGGTTTCCCATGTTCCTGAGACCTCAACCTTAAAAAAGGGAACTGAACAAGTGAGAAAGCGATTCGCACTGAAGCAAACCGGCGCCCACTCCAAATACCCTATTTTCCACTGTGCGGTCTCAACCTCTACAAAAAGAGGTAGTTGTCATGAAGGAAACAGGTTTTCCCAAATGGGCAAATTAAACCACTGGGGGAATGCAGGTTTTAGTCCTTGGCTCCATGTTGTGTACCTACTTTTGGCCAGCCAAATACATATATATGGTACAGCGTTGCCAGCCCCCCCCCCCCCCTCCCCCACAATGGTCATGGGTCAGACAAGTACCCCCCCCCCCCTGTGGTTGTGGTCCTGTGGTTGGGTTGTGGTGGTTTAGGGTTGGTTTAGAATTGGTTTAGGGTATATTTAGGGTGTATTTAGGGTTAGTTTAGGGTTGGCTCAGGTTGGGGTTTATTGTTTAGGGATTGGTTTAGGGTGTATTTGGGGGTAGTTTAGGGTTGGTTTAGGGTTAGTTTAGGGTTGGTATATGTTGATTTAGGGTTGGTTTAGGTTTAGAGGTCTACGGTTTAGGGTTTGGTTTAGGGTGTGTTTAGGGTTGGTTTATGGTTGGTTGCGGGTTGGCTTGTCCTGCGGGTTGGGGTGCCGGGGTGTCGGGGTGCGATTCAGGGGGTCGGGGTGGGGTCGGGGTTGGGACGGTAGGTGCCAGGATCCGGGTTCTCGGGGTCTCGGGCCGGGGGGGAGGGGGGGGGTCCTGGGAAACCCACACCATATGGGGGGGGGGGGGTAGCAACACGGAACACGGGACCATATACATATTTCTATATATATATATATATACATATCAAGTAAAGAAGGAATGGACATTGGAGGAAATGGGCTTCAGCCAAGGCTGCCCACAGTGATGTTCAGCAACTCCATGGCCCTTTTGCCCCGCGGAGCCACTGCGATGGCCTGAAATGAGCATCTGATTGAAGGGCCAAAGGCTGAAATGATCTGTCAAAAAAAAAACGTGAAGTTTCCTTGAAATGAGTGTCTTTTGTGGGGACCCTGAATATGGTGGGTTTCCTTCTCGCTTCCATTTAAAACCGACCAAAAACGGGCACCCTCAAGAAAAGACACCCAAATGAGTCACAATCCAAACCCGGTATAAAAATGGTCGACGCAGAACCATGTCAAGAACTAAGAAGGCGGCCGCAGCTATTTATGGCTGCGATCGTGCCCTACTAACCTTCACTTACCCGGGTTTTGATTGTGGCTCAAATGAAGTTTGAAAGATGGAGCCAGTTACCTGGGAGTCCCCAGCTACACGCACGCAGACGGTGTCATTCCCCAGCACCAGCTGGTCGCAAACAAAACGTGGACATGGATTCCCCCTTCAGCTTGTGCAGAGGGAGAATGCGTGGCTACTTGCGGGTCCATATTCGGGGGTACGCCCCCCTCCCTTCCACTTTTCCGTACTTAAGCGTAATTGTCCATAGCTCAGAGGACAGGAGTGGCAAAGTGCGGGTGTGCAGAGCGAGGCCTGCCAAAAAAGAGGACTCCATTAACATGATAATAGGAGAATTCAGTCTTTGCATGTTCTGCTCAAGCAGTTCACAGGTGAGAGAGCTCCGTTGCCCCATGCCATTCCCTTGACTTCGGCACATGACGGTGAATATGGGCACTTGCTCATTTTGCAGGAAACAGCCGGGAAACAGCCAGTGCCCCCAATCGCATATAGAGAGCCGAATCTCTATATGTTTAGCACCCCCCCACCCCCCCACCCACCCACTGACCACCCCACCCATTTCCGGGCCCCCCATAAATCAGTAAGGGTTCTTATCAATTTGCCGTGAACCGGGCATCGCCTTTTTCAAATTCTTCTCGATGTTGGTGTTGATGGCCTGCATGACCACTGTCGAGCCCTCCACCAAGGTCCGCACCTCAATCCGATCAGCCACGATCGCATGCGCCTCCAGGAAAGCCGCTATAGACCAAGGGAAACCACCATAGAACAGGACGAAGCCCTGGTTCCCTGGGATGGGCAACATGCACAATATGAAGGGAATCGAAGCAGTGCCAAGCCACCATGATCTTGGCGATCAAAGTCAGTGACCAGGCAAAGGCCGTCTCCGTAGTGTCGTCCGTGGTGAAACCGCGGACGATCTGGCGATTCATGGCGATTCGATGCTTGGAAGTGCCCTCGCATAAGGTGCTATGTTTGTGGGAGGAGTGGCATGTTGTCAATATCTAAGGAAGTTGCTCATGCATGTACAGTAATCCCTTCTGCCTTATGGAGACCATCGGAGACCCCCTCAATTTATACATCCTAATAGATAGCCCAGGGGTAAACAATCGCAACTCTGGCCATCAACCGCTTGTAGCAGGGGCTTCCCCAATTGAGGGACTCACTAGCACATCTGCGATTGAATATGGGTGCCCTGTCTACTTTTCGGACCTGCTATGAAATTTCATGCATCTGCATTTCCATGGTCGTTGTTTCTTTAGCGAGCTCACCTGGGGGGGCATTGGGGGGCACAAGATTACGCACGAATGACATTCTGAGGGGATCGGATCTGTTTAAGCCGGAAAACTCATTGAGTAAGGAACCAAGGTTTGCTCTGGTCTTGCTTGTCTCTCTGTCTGCAGGCAACTACATTATTTACGCCTAGCTGGTTATGACTCGAGCCTTGGATGCCCCCCAAACGGGCAAGAATAACACATGGTGTTTGCAAACATTGACCCCCGGTCGAATGGCTTCAAAGGAACAGCAGCAGAAAGCCATCGTGCAAGGGTTCAAGGTCCCTTTGGGTGCGGGATCACCGCCAAACAATTCATCCTCGTGGATTCCCACGACAGATGCCAATTACCCGTCGCCCGACCTCTTGGATAGACCAAATTGCAAAAAGCCAGGTCACATCCGGTGAATTGCTGGATTATTGAGTGAGCAAATCATTTATGTTGATACCATCCTAAGCGGTTCGGCCACGAATCCCCACCGGATTCTGATGTCCTCCAGAGGGTCCGGGACCAATTCAATTTATCTCCCACATGGAACTCCAAACAACCTGCATAAATTAATGTAGGGGGATCTTCCCGTTTTTTCATGAAATACATAATATGAATTGTTGGCTTTGGGTTCCATGTGGGTGTGTCATTTTTGAGGGTGCGCCTTCTCTTCCTGGTGTTCACGGAAAACCAGAAGCACCACCACCATGTGTGGGGGTATTGTCCCCCAACAAGAAGACCGGCCCGTTTCGAAGTGGATGCAACGGTTCCAAGCCGCCTCCACGGCCGCAGTCACATAGGGCGAGAACAGCTCCGTGGGTACGCCGTAGCCCACGTGCCGCAAGCCCAGACCCGAGAGTTCCTGGAGCTTCCGGCCACGGAAACGGGAAGGTAAACGCAAGCGCGCCCAACCCACGGTTTAGTTACCCTCCCACCAACGAACATGAAACCTGACTGGGGGTCCCTTTAAGGAAAATGGTCTTCCACCACCCCCCCTTTCATGTTCCATGTCAATTAGTGGGAGGCCATCCCCTCTGGGTAAGTTTAGTTCTCCAATGGAACAGGGGAAACCAAAATGGGTAGCCCTTTCATGTTCCATGTCAATTAGTGGGAGGCCATCCCCTCTGGGTAAGTTTAGTTCTCCAATGGAACAGGGGAAACTAAAATGGGTAGGCATTGTGACGTTCACCCATACTGTGAGACAGGCTCCGAAAAAGTGGGGCCCGCCCCCTCCGATAGTAAAGACAGAATTGTTCTAAGTTCCAAGAACAGTTCCACCAACCTTGCTGAGACGGTTCATATACAGACCACGAGCGGTGCTGGTTGATCCCTGACAATATCTCAACATATCAGTAAGAATGCCACCAACCCCAAAAGAGAAGTGGAGCACGTGCAATGAATGTGTTCTGTGGCCTCGTTCACTTGCATCGATTGCTTGCAAATGCACTGCCACAAACATGTTGGCAGGCACCTTGACATCTTATAATAATGCCGTCTACATGCTATTCAAAGCCACCCAACGGGATGGTTGACACCTCGACTCCCCTCTCCTCCACCATCTTCTTGGGAGTGCGGTACATCTCCACAGTCATCTCCACCTTTAGCGACTCTGAGCCATTTTCAGTTGATCCCACCCCACCCCAACTACTAGGTGTGTCGCTTTACTGGGAAAATCCTTTGGTAGACATCATTCGGTGGGGGATTCATGTCCGCCAACCACTTTCAATGTGGCTTCCAATTTACAATATCATGGCGTCAACTCTCAAGCTCCAACTGTGTCCCTGTAGCAAACTAGAAACGGCGTGCTGCAACCCTGGTCTAACAGCACCTCACCTTGGCCCGCTATTTCGGCACACCCAGTGTTTCCAGTTGCCACTGTAACAGGTAAACAACGGAAACTTAAAAGCAAAAGGACCAATCTCTGGTCACCTACATTGCATGGGTTTGCTTGGGATCTTCTCTGTCAGGGCACGATCTTCTCCGCGATGAAGAACAGCCGGGTTGTGGACTGCTTGAAGAAGTCTTGCCCAGAGGGGGCAAGCTGAAAAAACCTCTTGTAGACGTCTCGGCAGTAGCCGGTGAGAGCGTCCTGGCACTGTCTGATCAAATCTGAGGCCAATGGAAGCTCTGACATAGGCGTAGACTGAAGCCTGGGCCATTGCTTTGTGAAACAAAAACACTTCATAGGCTCAATTGACAAAATCTGGGTGAATTATTCTGGTTTTCCAAGCCAAGACAAGGGAACTCGATCAAAAGAACCATCATAGGAGTGACCGCCCTGCTTTGCGGTTGCTCTACCGTGCTCATTCCCTTTCGGCGCCTTCCGCACTGCACATACCAAAGCTTGCAGGCTTCCCTTTCCAAAAAACTCTCACGGCCACTACGTCTGGTCAAATGGCTACATCTGTGGCAAATCGGACAAGTGCTGCAACAAAACGCACATGGTAAGTCCGATTCGTGGCCTCTCCTGCGAGAGGTTGACTACGAACCGCTCGAGGGCTTTCTGCTGCGCTCGGGGCTTGCCGAGCTGCTTTGTCAGCAACCGCTCCACGTTTTCCCAGAGCCAATTCCAAGCTACCTGTGCCACGGCGCATTGCCCGTTTGGCAATAGAGAAATGGGTATAGGTCATAATGATCCATGATAGGGGGGCGTCCTTGTCATTTCCCGTTAACCCAATCTGAAAAAGGGTACCCTTACAAAAGATGCACCCACATGGACAGGCCAGTCTGGAGCAGAAAGCTTTGATTCCTTTAAAGATGTCCCCTTGCTAATTCAATAAAATGCGATGCAGGGGAAAGGTAGTTATATGAGAACCTGGCATCTCAGCTGAATCATGCGGTCGCCAAGCAGTCTGCCTCGGTCGCTGAGCATTTCTGGCAAGGGGTCAGGAGGAATCAACGTGACCTTGTCACCATTCCCAATAGCCGGACTTGATACATGAACTTGAAAGCGGGACAACCCCGTTGTTTGCAAGGCAACCTGAGAAGCAAGACCCTGTGTGGCAACAACAAGCCCCTGGGCCAAGGAGTGGCCCTTTTCCAACTGCAATTGTAAGGATGACTCCTTCTTGACAAACAACCTCCTCTGGGATGTGACCAGGAGTGTTTCAAGGGGGAAAGGAACCACCCAAGCACTTAGAGCAGATGCCCCCTTCCTTGGGAAGGCAATACCCATCCGGAAGGTATTGAGAAGCTATGGTTGTCAGGCCTAAAGGGCCTGCCCCACAAAGGACAAAACGCCGACTGGTCTACCAAAGCTAGGTCACTTCGAGCTTTGGAGCAACCCTGACCTCTGTTTCAGGTGCATTCCCAACAGCCCTGAATTTACCCATGTGGTTTGGTCATTCCGAGCTTAACCCCAATCAATTCCAACTTGAGTTCTCTCGCCTCGTGCTGCGAGTTCCACTCTTTCGGCACCAAGGACCTGCGTCCGCAGTCGTTCGAACCTTTTGCAACTGCCTTCCAGGATGAAAGCACATGGTGGCACAATGATCTTTGTGCAACTGAATACTGAGGCGGATGACTGAAACAAATGGAAGACTTGTGCTGTCTACTTCCCCCCAAGTGTAAGTAGGGGAGAAACCTATAGGATCCTATAGGCCCCCCTGAAAGGCTGTGAAAAGCTTCGTGGCACTTCTGATCGGAAGGTTGAAAGAATCTTTCTGGTAGCCCTGAAGGCAACCAGGGGTTAAGGATTGCCAGTTCCATTATCCCAAGAAAAGTACATGCATCCCAAGATTGATAGGTTTCGTTTTGGATTCCCTCGAAACAAGCAAGGAGGAGTCCACAAGCCTTGCACACACCGACTTCAGCCTTCCAAAGAAAATTTGGGACCATGAGCGGAATTCAAGAGGTCACGCACCGCAATTCCATGTTGACACGGGGTGGTTCGCGCTTCGACTATTTGACACACCACAAAAACACCGCCAAAGGTCCAAAGCGTTTCGGGGGAACCTGAACTCATTGCCTGGCCGCCCAAGTCTGGAAAGCTGGGGAGATTAGCTATGTGAGAATCCACCCCTTCAGAGGTAGTGGTTTTGGCGGTACGGGTTGACACTAGAGAGAACTGGCATTCAGGAATACGTAGGTGATGGGTGAGGTTGGTATATTTGCCCAAATCAGAGTGGAGGAAAACCGAAAATAATAATTAAACACCATCAAAGTTGGTCATGGCCCTTGATCCAAACCAGGACTTTCCCTGGTAAAGACGTCTCATAAGTCACTAAATGTGCTAGGTATCGATATGATCTCCTTAGCTCACAAACCTGAATAAAGCGAGCAGATTTCGTTACTTCATTTGAGTGCTGCTGCAACCATGCATCTTTAGAGGAATATCCGAAACGGGCCATTTGACCTTTTCGGATGTCATGGTTGGTCCGCAGGGGAGCATCTTGAGAGGAATCTCCATAATGAAGTCTTCGGTTTCATGGCTGATCCGTATAGAAGCATACATTCGCTTCATCTGGGCCAAACATAGATTTAGCCTCCCACCCGCTGCGAGAGTCTTCCCATCAAGGAACCAGTTGGAACGACTTTTCGCACTCAACCATCCAACTATCCAACTGGTTATTTCCTTTCGGAAACATCCCCAAACCGTTCATTCCCAAAACAAAACGCTTGCGGTCCGAGTCCAATGCAGTCCCAAAGCGCGCATTCCTTGACCAGCTGAACCCAAACGAAGCCCTGAGGCGCGCCTCAAAGAGGCCAGCATCACCGCCTTGAACTCCGGGAGGTTGATCTCTCCCTTGCACTTCCTGAGGTTGTGGACCCAAAGTGCGAGAAATGCGGGTGGGTGGGTGGGGAGGTGGGGGGGTCTGGAAAAAAGCGGAGAAAAGAGGGTCTGGAAAAAGACACATGACCATTTATGGTATCCGTGGGAAGAAATTAACCCGAACACGGAAGGTACCCTGACAACATAAGACAACAATGGCTGTGCAAAAGGACCCTGACAAGTGCGCGTTTTCCCTGAGTTTTTTGGGACACACAAACGCGTGCTTCCCTGGAAACATGGCACACCTATATGGCGGATGAGGCCTACTGAATGAATCCCCAGAACCATGGAATGCCGCCCACACGAGAGACGGTCGGGATGGTCCAGATCAAGACCCATGAGGATTTGGTTGGAACTCTCCCCAAGAACACTTTGCAGGTCCACCCATATCTCATGTAAGCCCTCAGAGCCACCACTTGGACATCGCCTTAGATGCGTCAACAGTGGCTTAGAAAGCTGTTGCCCCTTGCATAAAAAGATCTCAAGAGTTGGCAAACCAGAAGCCAAAGCCCAAAACGGCTCGACTATCTGAGGAACACATGCTTGCTTTTGCTAAGATCAGCCGCTGGGCGGATTTTTTGACCCCCCCCCCAGCGGTCTTCTACAGTGGAACCTGCACTATGGTGTGCGTGGGTTTGTTAAAATAAATGTAGTTATGCGTGTCTCTGTGTGTGTGGTGTGTGTGTGTGTGGGTGTGTGTGTGTGTGTCTGTGTGTGTGTGTGAGTGCCTGTGTGTGTGTGTGTGTCTGTGTGTGTGAGTGCCTGTGTGTGTGTGCGTGTGTCTGTTTGTGTGTGTGTGTGTCTGTGTCTGTGTGTGTGTTTTTGTCTGTGTGTGTTTGTGCTTTGGAGGGTACCCTTTTCAGCTCGGATTGAAAGGAAAACCCAAAGGAAAATCATCGTTTGGGGGTCCACATCTATGTTTTGGCACATACCCAACCCCAAAGGGTTTTGTCTCAAAATAGTAAGCCCCCCTCTCAAAAAATGCAAACTCATGCTTGCAAAGGTTCCTTTTGGTTTTGCTCAAAATGAGAAGGAAACAGGAAACACCCAAATGTTCCCCCCCTAAGAATGGTGGTTTTCCCTTGGTTTCCCTTTAAAACCACCGAAAAACGGGGTAGCCTCAACAAAAGACACACCCAGATGTCAGGCTTTCGCGTGGCTCCAAGGCTCGCCAAGTTCAAGGACAGCACATCGCAGGCCTCTTGAAGACGATAGGAGTTGGCCACGTTGGTGACGATGGGGTCGAAGTATTCCAGGATGAACTTCATCCAAGTACCTCTCTGTATCATAGCAAGAAATGGTTCCTCGATTTCTTTTTGTGAAGAACCCGTGGTGAAACCTGCCAAACAGTTGGTTTCTTCGTGGTTAGCTGTGTCAACTATACAGGGAACAAACCCTCAGAAGGGCGAGTGTCCCATTGGTTCCTCTCTGTATCTTGGTATGCCACCACAGCACGTAATCAGCCATTGTCCAGGGTGGATATGTTGGTCACCTACTATGCAGAGAACTTCATTCAGGTACCCTGTACCACTCTGTCTCATTGGTCAACGTTTGTCGACCAAAGGCCCTGGAGCAACTCAACAATTACTTACCGTTTGGTTCCTTTTTCAAGTTTGCACTTTTCGGCATCCAATCATGCCATAGATTTCGCTCCTGAGTATCATGGCCTTCCTCCCATGTGCAGAAGGCACAGTAGGAAGGCATACCTGGTTTCGTCAAAGAACTCTTTTCAGGTGCAATTTTATGCCATGTTGGTGGGTGGGAGGGACATACCTCAATGCAAGCGTCACCTGGATGTTAGGTATATATACACATTCGATGCAATCTCACCCTTTGTGATGGTTGCTTCCGGCGGCTGCGGCTCACTATCACTAGGATGTTTCAGATGCGGAAAGACGACCAAACGGGTTGGTGAAATTAGCAAACTGGGAGGTGCCGGCTACCTGGTCCGCCTGGCGACTTTTCAAAACCAACCACCGCTCACCGCTACAGGGCCCAAAAGGGCAGCTGCAAAGGTGGTTTCGACCTTTGCCTTTTGAAGCGTGATGTTTGCAGGGGACATGAGGCAGGATTGTCTAAGACCCTTCACCAAATGGACATACTTACCAGCCATACATCAGGATGTTAAGACTGCCTTTCCAACCTCGTGGCCAGTTGACAATTCGCCAACTAAAATACGAATCCCCAATAAAGAACCTTCATGGAGCAAATCGTTTCTTTTCCACGCGGGTTGCCTGAATTCCTTGCCCAGACTTTGTCTAACAAATGTGTCCATCTGCAAAGCGTGACTCCATTGACTCCTCTGCCGGGCAGCTGTTGGAGTACCCCATAACCGCGGCGTTGAACAAGAACATCTCGTCAAAGGTTGTAGGCACCTGGCACGGAAACAAATCAGCGGAATTACGCCTGAACCATTCCGGCCCATTTTGAACACTTTCAACAGGGGTGCTACGCTTGGGCATCCAACTTGTTCAACGTTCTGGGCGACTTTCCGAGCCACAAAGCAATCGGGAGACCTTCATCCATCGCTGGTTTGGGGCGCCCGGTAAAAACCCCACAAGTGGACGTTACGGGCTTCCCATTGGAAGACAAGGTTTCCAAAACCCTCAGCTTGGCTCAAAAGGACTACTGAACCACATGACCTCATGATCATGTAACAAGAATGTGTGCAACTCATAGAAATCCTATTTGGGGTATGTTTAAAACAAACCCGAAAGGACTCCCATCTCAGGGGGCTCCTCCAACTTAGTCACAATCAAGGACGCATCCTCGGGTCTTTGATGACGGCTCACCTGAAATCTCAAGGTACCATCACTTCGAAAGCTTCAACTCCACATGGGACCCCAAATGAACACCATTCTAAGAAATCGCTTTATGGTCGACCCTTTTTGCCATGCTGACTTGCAGGGGAGTACCCCAGCACTCCATTGAGACAAGCCGCAATCAGGACGACTGTTTGGATTCCAACTTCACATGCCACACTCTGCTAGCACCCTTTATATACAAGTCAAACGTTTGAAAGGGGAACCCAAACAGTCCATGGACACAAGGGCTGTTTGGGAACACAAACGCACCCATCACCTTATTCAGCAAGGGTCAAAGACGAAAGTGACCCATTGTCAAACGATATCCTGCAAATTGAAATCGAGTGGACACTGGCACAACAAACAAGGACTCTAAATGTCCTGAAGTCAACAATATGGCTTTCTAATTGGAAGGCAACAATTGAAAGACATCCGCAGCGCCAAAAAAGCAGAGGTGCTGTCTGACAGTTGTTTGGAAACAGCGCCATGAATTTTGAGTTCAGTTTGCCATGTGCGGGAGAGGAAAGCCAAGTCCTCCCACCACCACCCCCACCACCCCCCCCGGAAAGCCTCTTCAAACAATCTTGCAGTCAAAGGATCCGTAGAGGGTTCTGGTTCTGGGAACCTCTGTGGGTGTGTCGCAAAATGAAGGATCCCCAATGTGTCCCCGTTTCGTTTCCCTTTTAACCCCCCCCATCGCCCCCAAAAAAGCCTAAAACCGACACACCCAAACCTTTCTGAGGGAAGGATATGGGCATGCGTGTCTCTCCTGAATTTCCTCTAAGAGGGTCAGCATAACTTGTCACCCCAAGACAACTGGTGAGTGCCCTGGTTTTTTGCGGCAAATTTAGTGAACCCCCCCTCCCAAAAACACACACACATACACCCACACACCACACACACACACACCAACACGCACCAACACACACCAACACACACCAACACACACCAACACACACCAACACACACCAACACACACCAACACACACCAACACGCACCAACACACGCCAACACACACCTACACACACCAACACACACCAACACACACCTACACACACCAACACACACCTACACACACCAACACACACCAACACACACCTACACACACCAACACACACCAACACACACCAACACACACCAACACACACCAACACACACCAACACACACCAACACACACCAACACACACCAACACACACCAACACACACCAACACACACCAACACACACCAACACACACCAACACACACCAACACACACCAACACACACACACCAACACACACCAACACACACCAACACACACCAACACACACCAACACACACCAACACACACCAACACACACCAACACACCAACACACACCAACACACCAACACACACCAACACACACCAACACACACCAACACACACCAACACACACCAACACACACCAACACACACCAACACACACCAACACACACCAACACACACCAACACACACCAACACACACCAACACACACCAACACACACACACACACCAACACACACCAACACACACCAACACACACCAACACACACCAACACACACCAACACACACCAACACACACCAACACACACCAACACACACCAACACACACCAACACACACCAACACACACCAACACACACCAACACACACCAACACACACCAACACACACCAACACACACCAACACACACCAACACACACCAACACACACCAACACACACCAACACACACCAACACACACCAACACACACCAACACACACCAACACACACCAACACACCAACACACACCAACACACACCAACACACACCAACACACACCAACACACACCAACACACACCAACACACACCAACACACACCAACACACACCAACACACACCAACACACACCAACACACACCAACACACACCACACACACCAACACACACCAACACACACCAACACACACCAACACACACCAACACACACCAACACACACCAACACACACCAACACACACCAACACACACCAACACACACCAACACACACCAACACACACCAACACACACCAACACACACCAACACACACCAACACACACCAACACACACCAACACACACCAACACACAACACACACCAACACACACCAACACACACCAACACACACCAACACACACCAACACACACCAACACACACCAACACACACCAACACACACCAACACACACCAACACACACCAACACACACCAACACACACCAACACACCAACACACACCAACACACACCAACACACACCAACACACACCAACACACACCAACACACACCAACACACACCAACACACACCAACACACACCAACACACACCAACACACACCAACACACACCAACACACACCAACACACACCAACACACACCAACACACACCAACACACACCAACACACACCAACACACACCAACACACACCAACACACACACACACCAACACACACCAACACACACCAACACAACACCAACACAACACAACACAACACAACACAACACAACAACACAACACCACGCACCCACACACACACACACACACACGCACACATAAAACACAAGTTTTCTTCGAACCTGCGAATGGCGCCAACTCGGGGAGCCCTCGCCTTGAGTTGTGAGTTCTTGCCGCCCTCCTGGCTCTTTGTAGGGTCTACCTCCACCCGCTCCTGGCAGGGAAGCCCGCGCAAGTCTGGGCCCTGAAACCTCCCGCCAAACGTGGCCTTGGTCGCTCCCAAGTGGAAATGGACATTTTTCACAAGGAATGTCACATAGACAAAAGAGGTAAGCTGCTAAGCTGGGTCTGGCTATGAATTGATGCTCTGGCGTCAGGTTGGCACAGAAGGTCTCAAGGGGTTCAGAAAGGGCGCTGATAGCCTCGACAAACGTCCTGAATGACGTGTTGAAGAGAAGCATGCATCAAATGCCGAGACTTATTCAAGCTAATTCAACGAGACTACCCAGTTCAAATGGCATGGTGTCCGCCAAATCACGCTGTGCCGTGTCAACGCTGTAGCTTCCAAGCACAACACATTGCTCTAAGAGAGCTACAATGTGGTGATGTGATACAACTTGCCTCTAGGCACAAAGTGGTATGCGGCTGCTCTTTCGAGCTGGTGCTGCTTGTCCTGTAGCGCTGCTGTCACTGCTACTGCTGGTGATGTGGCAGTAGTAGGCCCAGACAGTATCAAATGGATCCCTCGACCCGCCAAAGCCAGGGCTGGGCTGCACCCATTTGGCAGATACAATAACGCATTGGATTGTCCTCCCTGTCCAATATGGGCAATTCCCATGTATCACAGAACGTAGCGGGAAAAAACCCTATGTGGCCCATGTGCCGCAACCATGGGCCTGCGCTACCTCCTCTTCCTCCTCTTCCTCGTCGGACTTGCTGTCCAGGTCCTCGATCTGGTCAACGTCATCCTCGCGCAGCAGGTGCAAACAACAGGCGAAAATGCACCAACCGACATAGAACCCAGAGGGTCCCCTTTAATGGATCGCAAAAAGATTTGGTGGAAACAGGTGACATAGGCGAGATGTTCGGGTCAGCGAAGCCAGAACTTTGGCCAAGGCCAGTCATGCCAGTCTCAGATGCGAGAAGAGAATGCTGAACAAATAGGAGATGTACCCTCCCAACATGGAAGTGCACGGACCCCGGACTACTTTCCCTGATATTCAAGAAAGCGTAGTCGATCCAAGTGCAGCAAATGTGTGGTAAAGAGGGGGCCTGCAACAAAGAGGAACAGCCACGACAATTCAAGAAATGCCGTACATGCATTCCTGATGACTCCGTCTGTTTTTGTCTTTGTTGAGCTAGCGAGTGTATGCACATAAGCCGTGGATAGGATCAAGCGTGAACCTGCGGAAATCATCCGCAGGGCACTAAGGAATCTTCAATAAAGTGATTCATGCAAGACGCGCATATTGGAGCAAGCTTGAGCACACCTTGGAACGACATGTGCCCAGGATGACTCACGCTCTTCAATGTATGTGCCCTTGTCAAAACACCAGGGGGTTGATCTGTATGCCATGGGCACCTTCAAAATTCAAGGGGAAAATAGACAACCATTGTAAAGGGATCCTATTCTGAGAACCATGAGGTCCCATGACCCACATACGGAATGTTGATCATCGCCCCTGTGTGGCTCAGCCCCAAAAGACTGAGAGGGGCTGCCAAATGACACACTAGGAATCGCTTCCCTTCAAGCAAACTCCTATGTGCAACACGCAAAAGGGGCGCAAACCTGCATTCAAACTCGCACATTCCCAATTTAGCTTTGGAAAATGAAAATTAGTCACACATCAGCATTCCGGTATCACACTTCAACACAACTGTTACCAATCAAGGAAGGACTATGGCCAAATGGAACCGTGACCCAAAGTTGCAAACCAACACTTGTGAACTAGTTGCTCAAATACAAACACGACACGACCCAAAATCACAAATGACTCGTGTGAGACACGAACAACTTGCACCAAAAACAAGTCTCCACATAAAGAATCACATGGCATTCTTGCCGCATGTTTTTATGCTTGGGTCGTCCTCAAGTCTAACCTTACCCGTTCGCATGTTACTGTGGCTCAGCAACATCCAGCGTCTGAACTGCTCCAAGCGGCCCCTTTCTTTGCTGCTGTGTTCCAGCTCCGCAGAAGTAAACGGATGCGACCTGCGTACTCCTCGCAAAAAAGGCACTGGCAAGTTGGTCGTCGACATGCATCACAGTCGCACGCATCAAGCGGCCTGGAACCGCCGTTTTGGACGCGTCCGAAGAGGTAATTGCGCGGACCTCAAAAGCAACTCGTTTGCCATGTTGAACCAGGCTCAAGTGGACCCAACAAGTTTATGCCTTGATTGGCAGAGCCTCCTGCACCTGGCCAGGCCTCAGACCTATGGACTTCGCATCCACTGGAGCCAGAATCGCAACAAAACCACCTCGGTCATCAAAATCCGGCATTAAAGGAGCTCTGTTGTTGAAAAGGCTGTCCTACTCTTGCGGGAACGCCAAGCTTTGAAACCTCCAAGTGAACACACAAGGCCAAAAACACCCATGTCCCTCATTAGAGGGTTGTGTTCTAGCGGTGTGCCAGTCAAATGATTCACTAATTGTCGGGCCACTGGCAAACTAAACGGAAGAAGACCATTTAAACATCAATTCGCCCCATGCCAATTCTCGGTGGTTTAATCAACCAACTACTGGACGACCAAGTGTTGAAAACACATGTTAATCCACATTGGAGGAGTCTGCACAAAATCATGAAAAATCGGCAACAGGCTTTCTTGGCACTTTCCCATACTACCCTTCAGCCACCCTAGTTTTATGGTCTTTCCTGTGTGGCAGATTTTGCCAATGGCTTCCCATTGAGGACAACGAGTGGACAACCGATGAACATGTTGCACCAACCAACTGTGTCAAACCCATGCCAAAACCAATAGACATGTTCAACCACTCACAATTGTGTGCTGCTTCAGGCAAGCAACGTTTGTTGAACCTCCACTACCCCACATGAAGACATGTTCAACCAACCTGGAATTTTAATAGTTGATTTCAACACATGTTCATTCAACATGTGTGTGTGTGTGTATTTCTTGTGGGTACCCTTTTCCGGAAAGTTTTCCTGTTGGTTGGGTCTTGAGGTCTCCTATTCCGACATTACAAATGTGGAGACCCCTTCAAAGGCGGTTGATTTGGGCATCTCTCGGAATATGGTTCTCGCACAATTGGTTTCCCTTTAAGCCAACCTGAAAAGGGCACAAGAAACACACAAACACACACAAACACACACACACACACACACACACACACACACACACACGTTGTCCACCCACCGAGCCTTCCGGCAGAAGATGTACGCCCCACCCGCGTAGGTCATGATGGAGGAGAGGCCCATGCGCGCCCGGGTGCCGAACAACGCCCCCAGCTCCAGGTCGAACACCTCGCAGCGGTTCCAGCGCCGAGCCCGGGTTGAGATCCAGGGAGGAGCGGCCACTGTTGCACTCAGCTACTTTGTGACAAAGGGCAAAATTAAGGGGAACATATGTATATGATAATAATGGTTGTACGTGGTCCTCAAGTGGATGCAATTCACACTAATTCATCATTCAATGGAATCTTGAAACGGATTCTGTTAATACAAGGGGCAAAATACCCATACAAATGTGTTGTTAGTGTGCTAGTGCTTAACATGACAGTGGATTCAACGTATTCCACAACCTTGATTATTTGGGCCCTTACACTACCCGTTTGAGGTTGAAACAAGGGAAACCGAAGAAAGGGGCGGGGAATATAGTGGACGAAACGGGTACGATGCGGTATGGGTAAAGCTGTTCAGTGAATTGCATACCCTTCTCCGCCGTGTTTTGACGGCTTTCCCACCAAGCATGTTCAAGCCATATCATGGCTTCCCCACTAGCTACTGGTTCTAGCGGTAGCGGTCCAACCATTCTTTTCCGCGGTCCGTATTTCAAGAAGGCCGCCAAACACAAGGGTTTGAATCGGTGTTTGGAAAGAACGATGCTTGAAAAGAAGGGCGGAACAACCTCTAGACTAGTGGCGCGTCAGACTACGCAACTTGTGTCTTGTGGCTTACCTTGAAAGTAATGGGGGGCCACCTATTTGGATCTGTGTCCACTATTTCGGACTCTGTTCTAACAAGGAGCTCTTTTGCTCAAAACACATTTGCACTACAGTTACTTTACCATAAAACTCGCAAACCTGAGGTGAGGAAGCCTGTAAAACACAAATCGCATGGGGTTTGAAAGGTTGGATTTGAAGAAGCAAATCTTCCAATCCTTCACCGACCCGACTCGAGGAAGCCTTCCGTAGGGGTCCTTCATGGGCCCCTCGGGGAGCTCGCTAAAAAAAAAACGAAGAAGTCCTAGCCTCGGTCCAGGCTGGTTGAGCCTCTCACTTTTGGGGCGGCACGCGGTTCTTCCGGGGGAGTTCACCCAAAAATGGAAAATTCGCAACAAAGCGGATACCAAGTCTGATTTGTTTCCGTTGGGCTTCCCGTGAAGCACCAACACACTTTTGATTCAAATCGAGCCTGCCACCTGCTTAACTGCTCAAACCTCAAAAAACAAATGACTGTTTTCAAAGATGGCTGAGCCACACAAGCAAGGCTGCCAACAGCATTCCGAGCACTTCCATGGGGAGAATCCCGAGCTTCCTGCATGCTACAATTGAAGACCAAGGCACACCAAGGTCTTTTATATACATATTTGTTTGTGTGGAAAGGGTCGATTATTGCGATTGCTCCTGTTGCAATGCAAAGGGTCTTGAAACTAAGCTGGCGCCTTTTCCTGACTTCAAATCCCCAGCTTCAAAAGTAATCTTCCCTGTGTTCCCTTCGAAACGTTTAAGACCCACATAAGTAAGTTACTATGCGAGAAGTGAGCTGGAGCAACTATGGAAAACGGGTGCTTCCCGTTGAGCGCCTTTGGATGAGCCTCAAAATCAGGATCTCCCCCCATGTTGGGCGTCGATTTCCCTTTTGGTTTCCCAAGACAACCTGAAAACGGGCACCGAGCATCAAATGCGCGCCCTACCTCCGGACCCCTCCGGCATCTCCCATGGTAGTGGACATTGCGAGAGCCAATTCAGGCAAGTACCCTCCCAAGTATCTACTGAGGAGAAGCAGCTATTTGTTTGGGTATCCTTCGTTAAGGACATGTCCTCAGCTACCACTGTAGCCATCCTGTAACACCTAGCACTAAACCCTCACCATCGGGTATTCAAAAAAACATGCAAATTCATGTGCAAAACCTGAAAGCAGAATTGGATCCCGTAAACAGTTCAGGGCCAATGATCGAGCTGCCAAAAGCTTGCTACTGTTGGCTGGGGGAAACTGATGAAAGCCCAGCAAAGGGCTTCAAAACCTCAACAGATTGTCTTTGGTTCCGTCTAGAGTCATTTTTGTTGCTAAGGGACAATGATGGACGCCCAAAAAGGCCACTGCTCTCGTTGTACCCCCCGAGTCGGGCCTCCATGGTGGCCTCTCTAAAGATCTCCACCCGCGGAGCGGTGACATCCTGAGAGAAGGAGCGGGTCTGGATGCGGATCCAAAGGGACGCCCATCCAAATTGATCCGAAGGATCCGGATTTTGAATCTTGACCTGTTAGAGTACTCTTCGGCGGATTGGCATGGAATTCAAACAACTGCAACGTGTTTGGAGAAATATCCTTTTGCGGGACCCCTTTTGGGGGCAAATGTGATACAGGGATGATGTCGACCAAGGGTCTCCAAACAAACCGTCACTTGAAACAAGTGCAAAGGTCTGCAACCCCCAAGCAATGGAAACAACACATCCACGCACCACCTGGCTCAAGGGAAACATTTGCGTCCTTATTCGCATTCTCCCACAGAATGATCGCAAGTGATTGATCCAAACGGAAAAACAAAAAGCAACTGACTCAGCGGTTTCCTGTCCCAAAACGAGAAATAGAATCTCTGTGGACGGTTTACTCTGTGGACGGTTTAGAACAAAAGGGAGCCTGCCATTTAAAGGGTGCGCCTTTGGAAACACTAGCCTAGTAGGGAAGAACCTTAGAGGCACAAACCTCATTGATCCCAGACATATCTTCATCATCTACTGGCCAAGTGACTTCAAAGGAACACCCGCTAACATGACGCTGAAGGCCAATGGTGTTGCCATGTGGGTATGTTGGCGTGGGCGTGTGGGCATGGGTGTGGATGGAATGTGCAAATATCTGTCGGCTGAACTCAGACGCAACTTAGATGTATATGTGGGGTACCCGGGAGGGCAGGTCTTCCTGCAAACGCGGCAAGCTAAGGCTAAAAGCAAATCACGGCGTGGTTGCTCAGCTTCAAGCGGCGGCTTGGTTGCTAAACATCTTAGCTAGAACAAGCTATGGGCTGTCTTTCCGTAGCTTCCCTGGACAGCGAGCTGGCCAAAACAAAGGATCCACAATCCAATCGGGTGTATGGATAGGGTTTGGCCTCCTTTGCATGGCGGACCCTCGACAACGCTAGGACACTGTGGATACTCCAAGTTCGCCACCCTCCAATAGGGTCCAATGCACGCGTTCTCCAGCCAAAATATCTGCGTCCCAAACTTGGCCAAGGCCCCAAAGGCACCTTTCCAAATATTCTCAAACAGTTCTGGAAAGGACGTAGCATATCCCAAATCCATCCCTTGTGGTTTCCTGGAAAATGGAAATCAGACTCCCACAACTTCACCATAGGGGGCAAAAGCCTTGCAAACCAAACCCCTGGTGCAAAATCGCTACAACTTGCCCAAAGATGTCAGCTTCTTGTCTTGGGATTCAATCAGTTAGGTTTTGTGTCGCCCACTTCTGCTTTCTCTTCCCAAACCTCCAGTGGGGTGGGCGGAAGAGAGTCGATTGCTTTGTTTGGAACAGAAATACATGAAACAACAAAAATGGACGTGGGATCGTTGCTGGAGGTCTCGATCTTCCACTTTCCGACCATGGTTGTGTGTGTGTGTTGCAGATTAGCCCAAACTGAACCATCCTTGGTTTCCTGGAAAACTTTTTGGTTGGAACCCCTGCGATTCCCGATGAAGCCAAGTTAACGAGTTCCAAGGCTCCAGGTCCAGGTGATTGAAGGCGACTGCCTCCACCTGGCGCCTCAGCAACGTCGCGTCGTGCGCCGCGTGCACGAAGCTGGTGATGCCCGTCAAGATGCGCAGGCCCATGGTGGCCCGCGGCGCCTCAATAGAACCAAGTGCCCGTCGTCGCGTGGTATCCAACATGGTAGGCACACACACACATTGCCTCAGCTCTCACGCCGAGCTGCCCGGAACATGCCCTGCAGGTTTGGCGCTGCGTCGAAGAAGGCGCCGTAGATGGCGTCCGCCGCGCTTTCTTTACGCTCGAAGACGCCCACGAAGCTGTCCCAGGCACGTACGGTGGATTTCACCTGAGGGGCCCAAAGAGAGTTCTTTTTCGTGATTTGTTTTTCTTTCTTCTTGGGGGAAAGAGCCAACGAGCAGGCTGAGATTGGTCCATGCAACGCCAGTAAATTACCTCGTCTCCCAGAAATGGGGGTTGTGAAGATTGCAGGCTGCAGAACTGCAGGCACCCTCCCCTCCTACTTGGAACCCAACCCACCCAGGCTCCCCAATCAGTCAGGTGCCATATGGGACGGTAAAAAGTAAGCGACATGAGCTCACAAAATGGTCGAATTCGGCAAGCGTCAACTTCCTGCACAAGAACATGATAAGCAATTCCGTGCTCGATTCATGCCTTGTTTCTGTTAAATTTGTTCCCGACATGTGGTACATAAAACACAAACAAGAAGGTCAAAAGAACAACTTGCAAGTACAAGCTCCTTCATTTGCCGCTGCGGTACTTTGCACGAGGGAAGAAGCTGTTGCTCTGCAGCCTCTCAGGCTGCATGTCCCATATCGCAAAGTTAGCTCAAAACTTTCAAAACTAACTAACTTGTGGCTGAGTAAAAAAAGAATGGAACACCAAGACATGGCGTGGGTGGCAAAAGTCGAGCAACGTTCATGCTTTCTCATCAGCTCCTTCCCAAAAGTAGAACCCCCATGTGGGCCCCCAGCCCCCCACCCCCCTCAATGTTGACCCAGGATTAATAAACCCGTCCCATTCTTAGGGGGGGTGTTCCCTCCACGAAAAAGGGGGCACCCCCCTATTAATCAACCAGGGGTTTATTAATCCGGGGTCAACATCACCCCACTGCCCCCGCGTTCGAGCGGCCACTTTGGGTGGAAGCTCCAAGTCGTCAAGACTCTTGTCCTCGGAGCTCGGAGTTCTCCGGACGGGGAGCTGCTCGGTTTGGTGCCGTTGGTGCTTGCTCAACCAAGGGAAACCGCGGTTGAACCTAGAAGTCTGGGGACTTGGATTCATGCCACCTACTTGTGGGGTGGTTCAACGATTGAAATTTATTGCCATGTGCAGATCGAAGAATGATAGTAAGATATTACCAGGTGGCCATTTCTTGCTTCCTCAACACTTCAAGGGATCCTTTTGGGGCACAACACCACCTCTGGGTTTACCATGGTTTCCCTCCTTGTGGGGCAAACCCATCACCTTGAGAGAACCAGGGAAGGGGTGGTGGGGCCGGCTTTGTGTTCCACGGAAGCCCTGGGAAAGGGCAGATCCAAACAAAAATGGGCAATTGGAACCCCCGGGCGGGTGGGAGAAACTGTTCTCGGCCCAGCATCATTCACTGACAAGTACTTTTTCAGGACCTCCATCTCCTCATCATCCGGCTCCGACTCCTTGGCCACGGATCGAAGGAAGAACAACAGGGCGAACTGATGAAAGGTGAGGCAACAGTCTGGCAATGATACCGATCACTTGGCAATGCAAACAATGAAGCCAACCCTTAATGGCAAACATTGAAGAGGTTAAAAGGGGTCAACATACTGGCACTTGGACCCACAAACTAACACCAGGGTGCAAGTAGATGGCACAACTCCTTTGTACGGCTTTGTCACACGTAGACCCCACAGTGTTTGTCGGTTTCCCTTTCCACTGTACCCGACTATGTTGCTTCATGCTAGAAGAGAAACAAAGTTTTTCGGGAAGGAATAAACCAAAACGGACCGAAATGGGGCACTATGTTGAAGAAACACAAAGTAAGGGGAAGACATAAACCGGAAAAACAAAAAGGCGAAACGGGGGCATTGTGCCATCTACTTTCACCCGAACGCGAAGTCAGGCCATGGCTCCAAGTCTTCGCTGTCGGGCCCAGTGGAGGGATCCTCCTCCTCAGACTCCTCCGCATATTCCTCGAGCCGGCGACGGCTTCGAGGCTTCGAGGCTTCGAGTTCGCACACCGGTGCATGTTATACGGGAAAGAACCCGAGGTTGTGGGCACTTTAAGCCATAGCTGTGACTGGAGCAAACCATTAGTAAGTCTTCAGCCCCTTTGATACTCCTTGGGTCTCTGGTTGCCAAGCCGCTTTGTTTCGATATCAACCCCCTCTGGGAGAGGGCAATGAACCACAGCAAGCCTTTTGCGGGATGTTTGCCCAGTATGGAAAAGGGGCGTGTACAAACACCTGACCCTAGACAGGGGTGTTGGCTGAAGTGGCCTACGAGGCTGTTGCTCCCATAGAAGTCAAAGGGAAATCGCCCATCGGTGCTCACCTTTGGAGCCATCTCACTGCCAACTTACAGCGCGCAGGGACACAGAATGAATCTCCATTTTGCCAAGCCTCCACATGCGTCGAATAGAGGACCCAGCTGGCAATACGGTCTGTCTGTGTCTCCATCCCAAAGGGTTCAAGTAACCGAGTAATTGCCAATGGACCCATACTCCCAAAAAGCCTGGCTTGGAACCTGACATGTGCTTAAGAACTCGGTGAGAGCACAAATCAAGCGACGATGCTAATGGTCCAACAATGTAAAAGTTAACATGAACATGTTGCGTGTGAGACTGGCGCAAAAGTGGACGGCATACCAGCTTGATACTTTGACATTTGGGTGCATGTTGTTTGATTCAAGGGTACCCTTTTCAGAAGAGCAACCAGAATCACAACTCTTGGGGTCCCTAAAGTTCCATGCACCCAAAGTCTAAGTCTGGGACATGCTAGATGTTACATGTCACAATTTCAAACATGCGCTCAGTCTTCCTGCGCTACTTATATATTTGGAACATGCTAAAACAGCCATAGTTCCAAGCTCCACCGTGGAGATTGAACACGGACAAACACTCTTCAAGTGCTTGTGGCCACTTAAGCGGTTCCCAGCCAGAGAAAACTGGCTGTCTCTTATAGAGAACATCCTCTTTCTTGGGCTTGTTTCTGGGTGCCTGTTTTGAGGTAACTGTTTGGGCTTGGTTTGAAGGGGTCCCCCTATTTTGACGCGCACCCGTTTAAAGGAAGATCAACAAGCCAAACTAGCAATTCGTGCGAGGCAAAGCTTTCCTCAAGTGCCCCTTGCAAATCCACCGGATCCACCAACTGGCAAGGGCTCCTTGCTCAGCAAACTGGGAGCCTCAAATACATCGCCGAGTAACTCTGCGGTACATTCCTACAATGTTGCAAGTTCATCAAGCATAAACCATGGACAATTATAGGGACTCCCTTATTCCATACTTGCAAAACTTAGAAGCAATCTTACCGCTCAGGTTTGCTAAATCCTGGGGCTCCTTCCCTCAATTCTGAGCCAAGCGGCAGATGAGTCCTCCTCCGCCTCTGACATGCCCTTTTTAAGCACGTTTCGGAGGGCTGCTTATCTCCGCACTCTGGGCCAAAAGTCCGGCAGTCAGCATGCGGTTCTCAGCACAAGCGACGCATTGGATGAAACCAGTGTCAAATGAGAGCAGTCGGGTCCTCATCCTGCGGATGCCCCTAAATATTGCAAGCAGGGGAAAAAGGACACCCTCCAATATACCGTGATTTGCTCACGGTTTTGTGGGTGAGTATGGTTGGCTCACTTGTAATTTCCCATCCAGTGATTCTACTTACCAGCCTTCAGTGGGCAACCCGAACCCCTCAAATTCCAAAATGAAATCTGCCTGAGTAGCGGTTTTGGTCATTGAGATCTTCTGGGTGTTGCGTCCAAAAAATATATAATCTAAACGAGTCATCTCCCAGTGGGCTGGCATGCAAGGCTCGTTAGCCCATCTACAATCTAAGTCCGGTTCTCCAGCCAGAACGCCCTTCCTTGATGAGCATGCCAACGTATGCAACAAAACAGAAACGTGTCCGTCTTTTACTTAACCCTCAGTCTTAAATGGTGGCATCATGATAGATCAATGTGGATGTCAAAACAAAGGGGAGCCAGAAATTCACTTCGACGACACTCCGAGTAGTTTCAGTCAGGTGCTCCATTCTCAAAGTCTGGACAAAGCAACAAGATCTTTCGGCCATTCCACTCGGATTGCCAAATAAAATGGCGACCTTGGGCTGAATTTTGACCCCCAACCACAGTTGTTGGCAAGCGAGTGAGACAACGCTGTTTTCTCAAAAAAGGCTAGGAAACGGCGATTTTGGCCACACCAGAGAGTAATGAGGTTGCTGTGTTGTACCTGGCCCAAGTAGGGAAGCCTGGATGGACAAAATTTTGCACCGGTCAGGACTCATGAAACCCTATGAATACCAGGATAGGCCACCCATCGGCTGGTACAGGACTTTGCAGGATTTTGCACGAAGATCTCTCAACGTTTCGTGCGCCTCCTGCTGCAGGCGAGGAGCCTCTTTCTGGAGGCCGTTGCCTTAAGTACTCATGACAAGCACGCCCCGCTCACAGCTGGAACTCTCAACGGGTCTACATCCATGGACAGTATATAGATCTATATATATATATACAATGCGGGTGTTTCTGTCTGCACCCAAGCGGAATCCCCAACATGTGCCTGGAGGCCCAATTGATACACATATTTGTGCTTGAATTGTTTTGGCGAAAAAAGTGCCCGAAGTAGTGACCAGATTTTGGGCAGTCTCGGTTGCGCGGATTTGCGCCCGAATTTGCGCCGAACAAACGCGGTGCGTATTTCGGGCCAAGCCGTCTTCAAAACTGTTTGTTTCCACTCGGGCAGAAAAAAGCGCTCGAACTCCGAAGATGCAATTGAGCACTTTTGTCTGTATCAATTGGGCCTCCAAGGTGCTTGTCAGGTTGTTTTAACACAGCCATCAAAACTAAATTCCGAGTTTGCAGAGCTTGCCTGCTTGCTCGCTGGGAACGAATTGTTTTTTGAACAAAACACGCGCGACGGCAAGTCTTGCAGTTGCCTATAATTTGGACGGACATGCCGACTTCCTGCCCTTTGGAGCCACTTCAGCCCTGGGGGTCGTGATAGCCTTCGCATTTTCTTTACACGCTCGTCAACCGTTCGAGGTTGAAGTTTCCGACATCCGTCGGTTCTTGGGAAAACGATTTCAATACCCACCTGGATTCGTGGACGTCAGTCCCCCTGCAAGGAGAAAGCTGATCTTCCTCAAGGATGGGAGGTCTGGAAACTTGAACAATGCTCAATCCACTGGTTGTTTGCTGGCGGGGAACTCAAGGCAATGTTTGCATGATTTACAACACACCCAGCTTCCAAGCACGACTCCATTCAAGCGGCACTCTGCTGTAAAATCAGCCTCGAAGTAGTGAGGGGACAATCACCTTGAAACGTGAGGAAAGGGTGGCCGCCCGCGCATGATCCACATCGGGAAATGTGAATGGGGCACCCTTCCATACATTGTTCAATGGGTAGAGATGCAATCTTGAACACCAATGTCATTGCCCAGTTTCATAAACAGTTTCATAAACCCATTGAAGGAACTTCTTTCGAGCTATAAAGGCATGGGGGCATCCAAAAAAGTCTCTCGTTTTGGTTGGCTGCCCAAAAGAGAGCCACGCCCCGCAATGCTGCCTCGTCACCTTAGTGGCTTCCCTTAAGCAAGGAGCCGGAAGCCATCCAACAGGAGTCCCTACATCTTGAAACATCGTCCCACAGGAAGCTCTATTCACAAAGCGGAGGGGACATGTGCCCTTTAATGGGCCAAGGTCCTGGCTTCCTATGCTCAAAATGGTGAACCTTGATGTGGCCATGGGTCAAAATCCCGTACCCCCAGCGAACATCCCGAGCCCCACTAAAATAGGTTCCAAAATGGGTGGCGCATCTACCCCAAACTGGGATCCCATTGGTTTTGACAACCACAGCCATGTTGATAGTGAAAGGAACACCACGCGCGTCAGGGGGCCTCGCCCAATCAGGTCCCCGGCTCTGCTCCTCGAGCTGCCGCCGGAGGTCTGTGCTCAGGCGCTCCAGACGATCCTCGCGATTTTCGGCATGGCGCGGCCAGGGGCCCCGCAAAAAGAAGCGTGTTGTTTCCCAAGAGGGTAAGGTAGGGACCTCAATCATTTCAAGACCAGATATGGTCATACTTATGGCCAGCAATGGCGGTAAAGCATTAGTAATTCTTATGGGACATGGCTTCGCATCCAAGAAATCGACTTTCCTGTTGGTTCCCCCAAAACCAATGTGAACAAGATGAAAGAGGACATAGGGAAATAGGGTGGCCCCCCCACTTTGCCAACCCCAACACTGCCATAGACTACTAGTAGCAACCTTGTCAGCTCGCAGGATCCAAGCTCAAACAAATCTCGGTCAGTCCAAATTAAAACTCACCTCAGCCCCCCGACCGAGCTAGCGTCCAGACCCCAATTAGATCATCAAGGGACGTTTTAGAAGAAACTTCCGTAGAACTGGCGCCAAGTGAACGCTAGCTGTCCTTTAAAACTAGTTGAGAGCATAAGGAGAAGGGAAGAGGAAGAGACAAAAAGGCTACGCACTGTTCGAATGGCTCAGATTTCATGACAGGCGCAGCACTTTCGCGAGAGTCGAGCACAGTATGTGTGACAGGCACAACACTGTCGCAACGTTGCAACGCGATGCTCGCAAATCGCGCGGCGTGGTTGTAACCATTCATGCTTGGCAAGATTCGTAAACTGGTTGGCTTGGGCTGCGCTGGTAACCTGCAAGTGCTCAGGCTCGGATCAGCCTTTCCCCAGAATCAGCTCCAGCTCTCAGCTCCAAGACCCAGCTCGGGTGGCGGGCGGTGGTGAGTGTGCCTGGCCCGCTTGAGCTACCAACGTTCATGCGCTGCTCAGCTGGCAAACTGCGATATTCCCAGCTCCAGGACTCAGTTGGTCAGACGCGGCCACAAGCTCAGCCTGACGTAAGCAAGCTGCACGCTTCATGCAGAGAGCCAGGCCAGCCGATCCCAGTTGCGAGGTGGGCTTCAAGCTTTCATGCTTGGCTCAGCTGCGCAAACTTGGCCACCTCCCCGTTAGCCGGTCCCCACTTCTCGAGTCTGAGTTCAAGCTCTTGGCGATGACTTTGCGCTGCCACGGCATCCTTTGCTCAAGTCCGCATTGCTCTTATGGCTATTATGAGCCTGGCCAAGGCGTTTACAATCAGACTATCGCCAAGTCTGAGGGAAAGGACTCGAGCTAATTTGCCCAAACAAATCCCTGGCCTTTGAGTCCAAAGCTTCTTGCAGCTGCTGCCTCAACCTCGATCGGATCAATGCACGGCGGGCATTTCCTGACCGTTAGGCCGTTGTTGGTGAATGGGAAGACGACACATGTTCCCACAAAGGGAGGCAACTAGTGGTTGAAACACCCTACCAAAAAGGAATCCTCCAAATATCAGCATGAGGACTCTAGTGCCACCATAGTGGAGTGTTTGGAATTGTGTTGTTAAAATTGTTTGAAGCGTGTGCATTAGAGGTTGGCAGTATTGCAACTTGCTCATGCCATCCACGAAACTGTCTACTGTAGGCTGAAGGGATGCCGGTCCCTCAAACTGACTGAATGTTTGGCAACAAGCCGGAACCCAGAGGAAACCCATGAACATTGCTAAGATAAGCAAATATCGTGTTGCAACTGCGCTTTGCAAGCACGTTTCGCACAACCTATGGCCAGCGGAGACCCGTTGGAACTCAAGGCCCACCAGGGCCAAGCCAAACATCTAGAGAGTCTGCTTGGGGGGGGGGTTCAACAAAGCATTGAGGGGTAGGCATTGGGTTGACGACAAACACTGCAACACCAAAAAGGGGGCTGCTACCAGCTATTACTCATGCGCATCCCTTCCGACCGAGATGGTTCCAGGTCAATGGAAAATCTGCATGTACTTCAAGCTGAAATCAACCATACATGAAGAGAGATAGCTGGGCTGGAACACCATGGAACAAGCGTACTGACACCGCACCATTTTCCATCTCACTGCAACGGCCGGAGATCGAAGTCCACGTACCTAGATGACAGGGCAACGCCCATACGAAGCTTTGGCGATGAATCCTGTCTTGAGTTCCCTTCTTCCCAATTGGCGAATCTGTGTCCATGGCACCAATCCTGAGGCCTGACTTCAATCTCTCAGGTGGAGTGTTCGAACCAACAGCCGAGCAAGAACCCAGTCGCGCAGAGACCCGGATGGAAAAAGAGAACCCTTTTTGTTTGGGATTGACATGCTTTTCTCCGGGACACCCACTACACTGGGTAAAGGGGTCACGGAGCAAGTGTGAGGAAACGGTGGCCAGCATGAATCTGCCAGAACTCTTCCTCGCGGTGTGGCATTCTGTATTACCAAAGTGGGCCATCCCAATCACTAGCTTGCCAGTTGAAAGGGACATTTGTGGGCGTTGTAGGAAGTGGCCCGCAAACCGCATTTTCCACACCGCGGCGCACCGCAGCGTGCCACTGGCATCCTTGAAGTAGAAAGCCTGCAGCCCGCAGCAGCCCTCCGAGTGGCC